TCAATAAAAAAAAGTGTATTTGTATTTGAAAAGTTTTATGTCTGATATTTAGACTCTTTCTTTTAATCATAATATGTTTTAACATGTGTACACCTTAATAAACATTTGTACTTTTATAACATACAGTGTTAGCTCAGCCCTTTTAGTTCGCAGTGACAGCATTCAAAAGACTGATGAATTAAACACATATTATGATAAACAAGGCAACTAAAATCTTGTGATTCAACCTGTGGATGCTGTGCTTGCAAAGGCACAAAATAAGGACTAGAAGGAGGATACACCATAAATGGAACTAGTTTGCTCAAAATAATTTTTAATCCTTCTTCGAGGTTCTTCCATACTTAACCTTGTATTGACAACTTGGCATTGATGAGTTAGCATGGAACATTTCTTACAGATAAACAGACAGCATGAACATAAGCATAGCAGTGTGTGTGTGTGTGTGTGTGTGTGTGTGTGTGTGTGTGTGACGGACAGCATGAACATAAGCATAGCAGTGTGTGTGTGTGTGACGTGCTTTCAAGTAGCTTCTGACTTACAGTGACCCTATAAATTAACAATCTCCAAAACGTCCTATCGTTAGCAGCCATTCTGAGGTCTTACAAACTGAGGGCTGTGGCTTCTTTTAGTGAGTTGATGCATCACAACCGAGGCTTCCCCGCCCCCCCAGCCACAGAACCTCCGTCTTACCTGGATTCAGGTTCAGTCAACTCAGCTTTAACCATCTCATCCAGAAATTTCTGGAGCTGTTCTGCCACTGCTCTCTGAATTACGTTGCCTAGAAACAAAAGATTCGAGACTGGGCAGTAATTGGTCAGATCCATAGGATCAAGATTCGGTTTTTTCAAGAGCAGAACAACCACCGCCTTCTTCAGCCCCCCGGGAATATCCTGGAACTCAGGGACAGATTGATGAGGAGGCCTTGTAACCTCTTGCTGCTGGCTTTCACCAGCCTTGAGGGGCATGGATCCAAGAGGCAGGTGGCTGGCCTAACAGCACCCAGAATTCTGTTGACATCGGCTTGGGAGAGCTGGCTGAAGGTGTCAAAAACCGAATCCAGAGATAGCCAAGGGGCCTCTAGTTCACACGTTGGCTGGTAGGTCGCAGCGGAGTGACAAGACTTTATCTGCAAAAAAGCTTGCAGATGCCTCACAGCTTAGGGTCAGATTCCTATTATTTTGGGTCTTCTCAGAGTGGGACGTAAGAGACCTAATTATCCAAAACATGTGCTGGGTGAGAGCTAGCAGATGCCATGGAGGCTGCATAAAATTCTTTTTTAGCAGCCTTCACTGCCACCTCATAGGATTTCATAAACATCCTATAAGATGCTCTTGTAGCTTCATTACTGATGTGCCACCAAATTCAGTCCAGTCGTCTAAGCTCCCATTTCAACTCCCTGAGTTCCATAGTGTACCAGGGGGATGCTTTTTGATGGAGGTGAAGAGGATGTCAGGGGGTAATTTCACTGATAGCTTCAGAGAGCCAGACATTCCAGTAGTCTATCAGCTCCTCTAAGGAATCACCGGAGGGCATTGGTTCCCTCAGAGCATTTTGGAATCCAACTGGATCCATTAATCCCCGCAGGTGAGCAAAAGTCCGCTCGCTGCCTATGCAGGGGAGGGGTAGGGACACCCAGCCGGACCTTCAGGGCACAATGATCTGACCACTGCACCGACATTTTGGCCATCAGATCAATATCAATCCCAACCCCAAAGATCAGATCCAGTGTGTGGCCTGCTTGATGTATGGGCCCTAATACAATCTGGGTGAGTCCTAGTGCTGCAATGGAGGACACTAGGTCTACTACCCGCTACAAGGAGGCGACGTCGGCATGGACACCAAGTATGATAATCCTTGGGAATTCCAACGCCCAGCCAACTGCCGCCTTGAGCAGGCTCGAGGGGTCTGTCCACCAGTGCACTAGATGGATGATACACCAAAAAGACAGCCAAACTCACCTCAGAGTCCCACGTGAGGCCCACACTATCAATGCCAGCCATCTTTGGGACGGGGAGTGCCCTGAAGGATCACTCCCTTAGTTTAATATTGTTGGTGTTTAGAAAGAAAGGTTTTGTATTTTCTTACCTGCTGTCTGAGGTTGGCAGCTGTTATTATGCTTTATTGCTGTATCGTTCTTTCTACATAGACACTTTAAACTTTTTATTGTTATTTTCTGCTTTCTGCTTTGTGAATTAAACTGAAAAGTAGATTCTAAGTTTCTCAATAAATTAATAATGTATCTTCCTGCCAAACAATGTAGGTAGGATCACACTAACTGACCTATTGGCAGAATAGTCTGCTTAATAAGTGGCTGCTGGTGTCTATAAAATATGCTATAGGTCATCCTGTTATCCTCTGAACAATTGCCATTGCGAACACGGTGCATCACTCACAGGGTCAGGGTGCCCTTTCGATACTAAATAATCAAATAGGAGTCGATGCCAAATAAGGTTAAGATGGTAAAGTTACTGTAGTCCATTAAGAAGTGCTCTTCCTTTCAGTTGGTGGGAGCCTGCCAAATGTGTCTATAGCTCTGTACAAGGAAAACCTCTTCAGACCACTAAACACAGACATTTCAACTTTTGATAGATGACACTAATGTTGCATTCAATGTGAGCAGCTCATAAATCAAAGGTAATTGAATGAGCAAGTGAATGAGCAAAGTAAGCCAACTCCTTCAAGGGAGCTTTGGAAGCACTGGCAAATGTTAAAAGTGTGCTCTGAATTTTTCTGATTGTGGAACATATGTAGATACTTGGTCAACTATACATTGTTTCATTATAACAAAGTTTGAGTCCAGTGGCACCTTTAATACCAACGAAGTTTAATTCTGGGTATAAGCTTTGAAAAGTACTGGGTTCAAGACTAGTGATTTCAGCTCATGGTTTATTGGTAGGCAAAGAGTGAGACAACGAGCAGGGCCCGGGGCCCTGCTTAAATGCCGATACATGCCACACCCAACAACACACCCCACACTCATGATAGGTTTATTTACAGTACCCTCATAACCATAGGTCCCTTCTTGGATCCGTACTGACTGACTGGTCCGTTCTCGGATCCTCTGTGTTTATTGTTCTGGTCGCGAAGCTTTGCTTGTTCGCTTGACCACGTGGCGTGGTCCCTTTGTTAGAATTAAACTCTGTTGGTCTTAAAAGTGCCACTGGACTTAAAAAACAGTGTTCTATTGCTTCAGACCAACAGACTGTTGCTTCAGACCAACCCACCTGAATCTGTTGTTTCATTATAGCATAGAGGCCTATCCTAAGATATGAAGATTGTATAAAAGAGTGGTACAGATGCGTAATGTCTGATTCATTTTGGGGTTGAAGTTTTAGAAGTAGCCCAGCAAGCAGTCGCTAACTGTTGTGAAACAACAATGATCTATCACCACCTATACATATAGTCTCTCTCCATCACAGTGGCAGCGAAGACAAGGTGCAGCAGAAGAAGAGTTGATTTGAGATTATACTGTCAGAGGGCATCTTTGCATCACTCTATATACCTTAGCAATGGTTACCACATCCATTATTAATTACTAGTATTAACAAAATGCCATTCTGCTTCCAGGCTCACTTCCTGTATTTTATGTCAGATATATAGATCTACAAACTTTAAAACAAACAGGGATTTTAGAGGTCTATTCAGAATCCTACTCAGGTTTATTCAAAGGGGGCTTACTTCCAGGAAAATGTTAGTCTCTTCCCTGCAATTGCTGCCAATAAGCAAGAATTTATAAACAGGATTCACAGTTAAATGTCTCAGGATAGAATACACCTGGTAAAGCCAGGAACAATTACAGTATAGAACAAATTATGCATTGGCTGCAGCAGACAGACACAGGGCAAGGACATGGAGCCTATCAGCACTTTTCATAGTGCCCACCAAGTGTGTTTAGAAAGTGGGTGGGATCAGATGTGGCTCTTCTTGCCCATTGGGCTTTTGATTTGCCACTGAAAACCTGCTTGGCTATGCAGTTTAAAAGAACATCGTTTCAGTGGCATCTGCATCCATAGTGTTTGTTTTAGTCTCTCTCACTGCTCTTTCCCAATGTATTTTTATTACCCCTCTGGACTTGGGCTTCCAGTGTGCGGTTTCACCTCCTGTACCAGCCATTTTGTGATTGAGCCCACCACCACCCTATGTCAGAGTTCCAAATGTGCCCACAGGCTCAGAAAGGTTGGGGACTCCTAGTATACACAGCTTAGGTCCAATGCACAAACTGCAAATCTGCGAGCTATGGCACAGTTTGGAGAAGTATGTATAGAGTGTGATTCCAACATCAACAACTAAGAAGTCGATCTTAATAAAAACCATCATTCTGCTTTTCTCAAGCTGCAAAAATGCCTTTTTGTGGACTGTTTTCTTTCCCTTTATGTTGTTACATTTCAGTGCGTCGGAGATGTGCAAGATCTGATTGTTGCAACAAACCTCTCCGCAATTAGCCGCTCAGTGCTGTTGTGACGCAAAAAGAGTTTCTCGTCGACAATTTCAGTACCGATCAAGAACCAAGAAGAAATCCGACAGAGCCTGAAGAACGGTCGAGGCTGCAGTCCCGCATCCTAATTTTTTTTTTTAAACTTTAATTTTAATGGGGCTTTTTTTGTCCTGAGGATTGCAGTCGTCAGCGCTTGTCCCCCTCATAAACCCCCAAGCCCAAATCTCCCTTGAGGGCCTCTACAGACCGCTCTTAATAAAACTATACACAGGTACCTGGAAGAGAAAACATAATCACGGGGCGGGAGCCCTTCCTCGTCTTGGCTTGGTCAGCTGACTGCTGTCATGTGAAACACCAGCGCGAAGAGGAAGAGAGTAGAACAGCCGAGCAGATCTACAATGGGTCGACTGATCGTCTTGTCGCTTGTTCTGCTCCTTCTGTGCCTCCTTCCCCCGCGGGGTGATGCTACTCCCTATGAGCCCACCTGGGAGTCCTTGGATTCCAGGCCGCTTCCCACGTGGTTTGATGAAGACAAGTTTGGGATATTTATCCACTGGGGTTTATTCTCTGTACCCAGCTTCGGCAGCGAGTGGTTTTGGTGAGATTCGCAAGCACAAGTTCTGCCCTGCTTTTCCCTTTCCTTTACAGACGGGGCCCATGCATGTTTACTCAGGAGTAAGTCTCACCGAGTTCAATGGGACTGATTTTCAAGAAAGGTACTTTGCTTTCCTTGAAAGTTAAATCCCCATTGACGCCACGGGGTTTAGCATCATGTATAGACGTTAGACGATTTGGTACTTCTATATCTGGGACTCCAGGTATATTATTTTGACTCTAAATGCTTCACAGGATTGAACTACTAATATCTTCCAGCTGTGCTGTCTCTTTCTAGAAAGTAATGTATTAGTCTCATTTGTGTTTGTCCTTCTTGGATAAAAGTGGTAAGGATTCTCTCTTCTTGAAACATATTGTGGCTAGTTGTAAATTTTGATAGGTATAAAATTTAAATCTGGGAAGTTAATCCCTCAAGTCTGTGGCTGATCACCAGTATGTGGAAGGTTCTCTGTAGAAGATTACTGCTTCTGCACTTCCTTAGTGTTTCATGTGGTACAAAGATGAGCCCTTGAACTGTGACAAAGGTATTTTGAATGCATATCTTTGGGCTTAAATTGGTTTATTATATGAATTTAAAATCTACTGGATCCTATACAAACTTATAGCATGAGAGAGGGTCAAGTTTTGTTCAAGTTGATTGTGAATATGACCCAAGCACTAATGATTGTGTGAACTGACTGTTTGTGGCTGAAACTGAATACTTGATGCCATAATGATATTTGTCTTATGTCTTCTGGAAAGTTTTCTTTAAATTCACCCTAAAAAGTCATTCCAGTTCACTTTGGCATCCCCCTTTCCCACACCTACTTATAATGGGGATGGTTTGATCAGGTCCTCAAGTTATTGCCTAAATATGATTTTTAAATGTAAGCGTAACAAATAAGGTTAAGGATTTGTTAATCAAAGTAATTTGATATAGTCTATACAGAACTGAAATATAATGAGTTCTGAAATGAAGTATTTTACTGGTTGAAGTAATAGCTGGAGTAAATTAAAGTGCAATCCTGTGCACACTTGCCTGGGAGTAAGCACCATTGATCATAGTGAGACTGATTTCTCAGCAGAGATGTAGAGGATTGGCTACAGTGATATTTTAAAGCATTGTTCTGGACTTCCATTTGTGCAGATTGGTTCCAGCCCTGAATTGGATAGCCCAGACTAGCCCCCACAAATCTCCAGGAATTTGTCAAGATGGGGTTGGCAAACCTACCTCCCAACCAAGTTGGAATCTGACAGTTTTTATGTGTGGAAACTATGAGATGTTTTTCTTTGCAGGTGGTATTGGAAGAAACAAAAGAAAGAAGCTTACATAAAATTTATGGAGATGAACTACCCTCCTGGATTCAGTTATGAAGATTTTGGGCCCTTGTTTACAGCAGAGTTTTTTGATGCTGACCAATGGGCAGACCTTTTGAAATCTTCAGGTGCAAAATACATAGTCTTGACTTCGAAACACCATGAAGGTAATCTGACTATACTTCCTTCAGAATTCAGTAGTTTCATTTGTTCATTTAAGCAGAAGCATAGCCTGGGTGAGTCTCATACAAAGTGAGGAATCTGAAAGTATAACTTCCTTGTTTTGATTCCTACAAGGAAACAGATGACTAATTATTATCATTACATGTATTTGCACACTAGAATGTATGGGGAAAGGTAGAAAAACAGGAGAAAAATGATAGAACTATAAATATTGCAGTTTTTTTGAATGCGCCCTTTAGTGTACTCTAATGTGCAGTTGTCTCCTAAAATGAAAGGAACTAGTAAGGTGGAACCAGTGGGATGTAGGACATAGTCTTCTGAATTAAACCTGACTTTTGATCTAAAATAGGCAGTGCCTTTGTTACTTGATACACCTAGAACACTGTTGTGAAGAGTACATTAACAAGAAGGAAGCTAACATTCTTACTATAGAATAACCTTGTTTTTTTGTTGTTCAGTTGCACAGTCGAGTCCGACTCTTCGCGACCCCATGGACCAGATCCCGCCAGGCCCTCCTGTCTTCCACTGTCCTCTGAAGTTTGCTTAATTTCATGTTCGTTGCATCGATGACACTGTCTAACCATCTCATCCTTTGCCGTCCCTGTTTTCTTTGACCTTCAATCTTTACCAGCATCAGGGTCTTCTCCAGTGATTGCTCCCTTCTCATTTGGTGGCCAAAGTGTTTGAACTTCAGTTTCATTATCTGCCCTTCCAGGGAACAGTCAGGGTTGATTTCTTTTAGGATTGACTGATTTGATCTTCTTGCAGTCCAAGGGACTCTCGAGAGTCTTCTCCAGCACCATAGTTCAAAAGAATCTATTCTTCGGCGCTCGGCCTTCCTTATAGTCCAACTCTCGCAGCCATACATGGACTACTGGGAATACCATTGCTTTGACCATGCGGACTTTTGTTGGCAGGGTAATGTCTCTACTTTTTATCATGCTGTTTAGGTTCGCCATCGCTTTCCTCCCAAGGAGCAGGCGTCTTTTAATTTCATGGCTGCAGTCACAGTCTGCGGTGATCTGGGATCCCAGGAACGTGAAGTCTGTCACTACTTCCACGACTTCCCCTTCTATTTGCCAAGGAGTGATGGGGCCGGATGCCATGATCTTAGTTTTTTTGATGTTGAGCTTCAAGCCCACTTTTGCGCTCTCCTCTTTTACTCTGAGCAAGAGGCTCTTTAGATCCTCTTCACTTTCAGCCATTAGAGTGGTATCATCTGCATATCTGAGGTTGTTGATCTTTTCCCCAGCAATCTTAATTCCCGCTTGTGATTCATCCAGGCCAGCATTTCGCATGATGTACTCTGCATATATATTAAATAAGCAAGGCGACAATATACATCCTTGTCGTACTCCTTTTCCTATGCTGAACCAATCAGTTGTTCCATATCCGGTTCTAACTGTCGCTTCTTGGCCCTTATACAGGTTTCTCAAGAGACATGTGAGGTGGTCTGGTACTCCCATCTCTTTAAGGCCCTGCCATAGTTTGTTGTGATCCACACAGTCAAAAGCTTTAGCATAGTCAATGAAGCAGAAGTAGATATTTTTCTGGTACTCTCTTGCTTTCTCCATAATCCAGCGAATGTTGGCAATATGATCTCTCGTTCCTCTACCTCTTCGAAACCCAGCTTGTACTTCTGGTAGTTCTCTATCCACGTACTGTTGAAGCCTAGCTTGTAGGATCTTGAGCATGACCTTGCTAGCGTGTGATATGAGTGCAATTGTGCGATAGTTTGAACATTCCTTGGCATTGCCCTTCTTTGGGATTGGAATGTATACTGACCTTTTCCAATCCTGTGGCCACTGTTGCGTTTTCCAAATTTGCTGGCAAATGGAGTGCAGAACTTTAACAGCATCATCTTCTAAGACTTTGAATAGCTCAGCTGGAATACCATCACCTCCACTAGCTTTGTTGTTAGCAATGCTTTCTAAGGCCCATTTAACTTCACATTCCAGGATGTCTGGCTCAAGGTCAGTGATTATACCGTCGTGTTTGTCAAGGACATTGAGGTCTTTCTTGTATAGTTCTTCTGTGTATTCTTGCCATCTTTTCCTAATCTCTTCTGCTTCTGTTAGGTCCCTACCGTTTTTGTCCTTTATCATGGCCAGCTTTGCATGGAACGCTCCCTTGATTTCTCCAATTTTCTTGAAGAGATCTCTAGTCCTTCCCATTCTATTGTTTTCTTCTATTACTTTGCACTGTTCATTCAGGAAGGCCTCCTTATCTCTCCTTGCTGTTCTCTGGAAATCTGCGTTCAGTTGGGTAAATCTTTCCTTTTCGCCTTTGCCTTTCGCTTTCCTTCTTTCCTCTGCTATTTGTAAAGCCTCATCAGAAAGCCACTTTGCTTTCTTGCATTTCTTTTTCTTTGGGATGGTGGTGATTGCTGCCTTCTGTACAATGTCACAAACCTCCGTCCATAGTTCTTCAGGCACTCTATCTATCAAATCTAGACCCTTGAATCTATTCTTCACCTCTACTGTATGTTCATCAGGGATGGTTTTCCCAATTTCCTTCAGTTTAAGTCTGAATTTTGCAATGAGTAGCTCATGATCTGAGCCACAGTCAGCTCCAGGTCTTGTTTTTACCGACTGGATAGAGCTTCTCCATCTTTGACTGCAAATTATATAGTCAATCTGATTTCGGTGTTGCCCATCTGGTGATGTCCATGTGTAGAGTCGCCTCTTAGGTTGTTGGAAAAGGGTGTTCGCTATGACCAGTGTGTTCTCTTGACAAAACTCTGTTAACCTTTGCCCTGCTTCATTTTGCTTTCCAAGGCCAAACTTGTCTGTTGTTCCGGTTACCTTTTCACTTCCTACTTTAGCATTCCAGTCCCCTATGATGATGAGGACATCATTTTTTGGTGTTAGTTCTAGGAGGTGTTGTAGGTCTTCATAGAACCGGTCCACTTCAGCCTCTTCTGCATCAGTGGTTGGGGCATAGACTTGGATTACTGTGATGTTGAATGGTTTGCCTTGGAATCGGACCTTGTTTACATCTTAGTATATACCTTAAGGACTGCCTTCTCCCAAATGAACCTACTTGTCCACTCTGGTCATTTTCAGAGGCCTTTCTTTGAGTGCCCCTTCCCACTGAGTCTAGGCGCGTGCCAACCTGAGAGAAGGTCTTCTTGGCTGTCGCTTTGAAACTTTGGAACCCCCTCCCCAAGGAGATTTCTCTGTCTTCCTCTGTATTTTCTGTTTTGTTTGTTGTATCCTTAGTAAACTTGTTGGCCTTGTTCCTTTGTTATGTTTGTATGTCTATATATTTTCATTGAATTGTTAAATATTTTAAATATACATTTTAAATGATGTTTTAAATGTTTTAATGCCTTGATGTTCACTCCCCTGGAGACCCTGTTTGGGTGGAAAGGTGGCATAGAAATGTTTTAAACAAATAAATGTGAGCAGCGGTCCAAATAAGCTTTTCGGCCTGTGAATAATAACTACACATCTCAGCATAATTTTATTTGAAGTTTTGCTGTAGCTTGTCTTAGTTTGTTACTGGAATTCAAAATTTCCCTGTTTTAATTCATTGAGTATATCAAGTAAAGTACTAAGCTTGACTTTGGCTGCGGTCACACGGAACAGAAGCCACACAAGTGAGACGGAAAACAGGCGGAGTTTCCGGGCGCGATCTCACCAGCACATCTGGGAAGCGTAGCACTCCCGTGGCTCAACCGAGGCTTCCAGCCGAAACTGCGTGGCAAAAAACTAGTACCTCGGAGGTACTAGTTTCTGGAAACTGCGGGGCAAGGGCGGGCGTCTGATCGCGTTTCCGGTGGCATCCAGCGCCCGCCCATGTCCCCTTGCAAATAAGGTGTTTTTTTTTGTCCAAGTCTCTGTGGATGTGCACACGCACCCAACGGAGCATGCGCATTTGTCGTGTACACACAAAAAAACCCCAGTTTGCCGCGGCGCACGCTTCTTCATTGCGCGCCGGCTTGTCCTGTGATCAGCACCTCTCCCTTGCCATGGAACCTCCACGGTACCTCCACAGGACCTCCACGGGAGGTCTGATCGCGTAACTGTGCAGTAGTTTGCCCCAGGGCAAACAGCCACGCTTCTCCCCCGCAGTTTCCTGCCCGTGTGACCGGGGCCTTTATTTATTTATTTGCTGTCAAGTTGCAGGTGACTGCCTGAAGTTTTCAAGGCAAGAGACGTTCAAAGGTGGTTTGTCATTGTTTGTCTCTGCATAGCAACCCTGGACTTCCCTTGGTGGTCTCCCATCCAAATACTAACCAGGGCCAACCCTGCTTAGCTTACAAAATCTGATGAGATTGGGCTAGGATGGGCTATCTAGGTCAGAGTTATTTTTGCGTCAGAAGCTGAAGGTCTGCTGTTCTTTCTTAAACAAGATGCATTGCATTGTTTACCATTCTTGATGGATGAAGACAGTAGATATGGGGTGTCAAACATGCGGCCCGGGGACCGGATTAGGTCCCCGGAGGGCTTCTATCAGGCCCACAGTAGAACTGGCTGTCTTCTGCTTCTTCTTCCAGTTCTGCTGCTGCTGCGTCATCATAGGTTTGCAGCTTACAGGTACACACCTGAACAGCATACTCAAGATTGTAACAGCACAGACATTTTGATGCAATAATTCAGAGCAAGAGGTGTCAGCTATCAGAGACTGTTAAATAAACAAAATATTGCAAGAGTGCTAATGTTTTAAGCATGTTTTTAAGGGAAAAAAACCCCTTTATGTTTGTGTCCTTTATAAAGTTTATATCTCCACTACCTGGCATTACATTTTATGACACACATGGCCTGGCCCCACAAGGTCTCATTTACGTCAGATCCAGCCCTCATAACAAATTAGTTCGACACCCCTGCAGTAGATGCTGGATTAAGGCAGCTAGGTCTTACAGCTGAAGACATCTTCTTGCTAGGTAAGGCAAAAGCCCTTTCACTTGTTCATAGGGTTGCCAGGTCCTGGCTCCTCCAGGGCGGGGGACTTAGGAGAATTCCTGGAGGGGGTGGGGACATTCCCAATGCGATGACATCACACAGAAGTGATATCATCATGTTGGGAACACAGCCCCATGGAAGGTGCCCTCGGTGTCAGCTTGCAAGAACCTTTAAAAGGGAACCATCCCTTTAAATGGTTTTTGCAAGTGAGGGTACTGGTGCCCTACATGCCTGAACTCCAAGTGGTGAATTTGCTGCTTGGAATTCAGGTGTGCATGGCCCCTGCTTGCAAAAAGCATTTAAAGGGTCCCTTTAACTACTTTTTGAGAGTGGGAACCGCATGTGCCTGAACTCCAAGCAGCAAATTCACTGCTTGGAGTTCAGGCTTGTGGCCGGCAGCCGTCCCTCTCCCTCCCCTCCTGCAGGATTGAAAGGGTCCTCCAGCTGATTGGAGGGCCACGGTGGCTCAGAGGTTAAGACACTGAGCTGCAGACCAGACTGTAGCTCGACAGTTTGAGACCCTAGTGCCGCGTGATGGAGCGAACTCCCGTCTCTGGCCCCAGCTCCTGCCAACCTAGCAGTTCAAAAGAAAGAAATGGCAAGTAGATAAATAGGTACCACTTCGGTGGGAAGGTAACAGTGTTCTGTGCGCCACAGCGTTTAGTCATGCCGGCCACATGACCACGGAAAAGTCTTTGAACAGCACAGGCTCTTCATCTTGGAAACAGAGATGAGCACCGCCCCCTAGAGTCAAATTCGCCTAGCTTTCGAGCAAGGGAAACCTTACCAGTTGATTGGTGGACCAAATGTTCCTGCAGATCAGCTGGAGAGCCCTTTAAATCTCATAGGAGGGGAGGGAGAGGGGTGGCAATGGGTGGCCGCTGTTGGGGGCAGGGTTTGGGGTGGGGCTTCTTCTGCTGGCTGGCGGCAGGCAGGAGCACATGAAATCGGGGGATCCCCATCCCCACCTGGGGACTAACATCCCTACTTGTCCAGCATTGCCTTCTGGAGCTGGTTTACAACAGTACAGTGATTCGTTCTCGCAGAGTCTTCTTGAGTCAGTTCTTTGGTATTTTACCTTCTCAGACTCTGCCATTACACATGAGACACCTAACGGCCTCCCACCTTGTTAAGGCATTCACTTTAGCTTGCCATCCCATCCAAAGTATTATAGGGAAGATTTTATTGTATTCCATATTCAGATAGTATTTGCCCTTGTGATCACGGTAAAATTGATACTCTGTCTCACAAAATATTGTAATGTTGGTTTTTTACCGCTTTTAGGGACCCCTGGATCTCACAACTTTTGACATGCTCTCTGTTTAATAAACTACAAGGGGATAATATTCCCTGTCTGACGCTGGACTGTGACCCAAACATAACCTACTTGATTGCCAAATTTCTGTCTAACATATTTCCCTCTAGTAAATAATGTATTATTCTTTTAGTCATTGCTCAAGATCATCTGATCACAGGTGCTCTGAAAAGGAAAGGAAAGTACTAAGCGTACATAAATTCTTTTAGCTATCAGTTACTCACAAATGTTACTGCTACTCCATATCAGGTGTCAAATATTACAACAAAAAATTGCATGTGAAATACAGACGTCAATTATTTATTGGATTTTTGGTAAATACACACCAGAGAATATTTAGACAGTATACCACCATAATCCATGGAGAGATTTGGTGGTCAAGTATGGTTCACTTATTACAAACTTTTTTTGAAAGCCTGTTTAGTTCCTAAAAAAGCTTGCCAAATGGTGCGGGAGGTGGATTACACTTCAGCAAGCAAACCCTGAAGATGCTTTGGACTTGCAGAACTAGCAAATAGTTCTGGGGGTCCTGGATTTTATGGGTTGTTTTTTTTTGGTAAATACTAGAGAAATCTCATTATCAAGTAATACAAAATAAAAGCACACACAATATTTATAATGCTTGTTCTTAAAACAAATCCGTACTTTCCCTGTTTAGGTTTTACCTTATGGGGATCTAAATATTCTTGGTCTTGGAATGCTGTTGATGTTGGACCAAAGCGGGACATTGTGGCCGAGTTGGCATCGTCCATTAGAAACAGGACCAGGTTACGCTTTGGGTTGTACCACTCACTATTTGAATGGTTCAATCCTCTATTTCTCAGTGATGCCTCCAATTTATTCACAACCAAACAATTTCCAAATGCCAAGTCGCTCCCAGAGCTGTATGAGATTGTGAATCAGTACCACCCAGAGGTTCTGTGGTCAGATGGAGATGGGGATGCCCCAGACACTTATTGGAACAGCACTGGATTCCTAGCTTGGCTTTATAATGAGAGGTATGGCTGCTCTCTTGTTTAAATTGTGTATTTAATTTTTTTTTCTTGAAATGGCTGAAAAGCCATTAATATAATCGTTCTAAATCGAAAAGTTAGCAAACAACTTTTAGATTCAGAGCTATTATCAACTGCTTTTCCAGTTAAAATACCGGCAACTGAGGTGTGTTTTATACTTCCTTGTCACTTTGGGATGATGTGATCATTCCAGCTACACAGGCCTGGTGATCAATATTGCATAAAGAATCATTGTTCCATGCTGGCTCTTTTAATTTTAAGGATTAGGGTTCTTGGCCATTTAAACTCTCACATTTCTGAAGTGGAATACTGGAAGCCATGATGACATTTCAGGGATTGTTCTATGACTGCTGGAAAATTTTCTATAAATGCCCCCTAATTGGGCATATCAGTCCCCTCTTGCATTTTCTGCCTTCCCACCGCCTTCTTGCATGTTACAATTGATTTTTCCTTTCCCCATTAGCACGAGGAAGACCTTTTATCACAGATGGTACCTGTAAACGGAAGGCCTTATCAGGCCCCTACTTATTATATAAATAATAGTATTGCCCAGGGGTCTTTTGGGGCCGGAGCACGCTAGAGCGTCGCTCCGGGAGCCCAGGAGCTGGCAAAATGGCGGTGGCAGGAAGCCCCGCCCCCAGTTCCCCCCTGCTACAGCCTGCCGCCATCCTTCCGGGGGCCCGTGCTGAAGTGCTGCGGCCAAGGAGGCCCAAGGAGGCCCATTGCTGCCTTCCCAGGGCTATTATTTTTATGGCTAACATAAAAATAAAGCAACAATGGAATAATTAAAACAATAAAATTCAACAAAGTTACCAAGAAAAATAAGCCAGATAATTTCTGCCTTGAGTGGAGTGCAGCACTAGCTTAAATGTCTATGATCCAAAAATCAATTATTTACTAGACCCAAAAGTCCTCCTACAAAATCTGGTTAGGAAGACTGGCAAGATAGACACGCTTCTCACTTCCCCTGAGAGGCTATTACAAAGGGTAGGGGCAGTGCTTCCAGGAAACTGCTAATTGCACTCTGGCCAAGGGAGGAATGGGAAAGATGGTGAAGGAATGAGCAGAGTGCCTACATGGATACAGTGAGGTCCTATGCAGAGTTTTCCCATCTAAACCCAATGCGTTCAACAAGCATAAACTACAGTAATGCTTTATAGGATTGTACAGCAAAAGCATGTTTCATCAGTTGTTGGTTCAGGTATATTCACTTACTTCCATGAAAATGTGTGTGTGTGTGTGTGTGGGTATATAGCCGCCTCAGTCTAGTGATGATTTAGGCCCTTTCTGCACTCTACTTTTAATCCATGTTCACCATGGTGTTCTCCAAGCAATTCTGCACTAAAATCGAATTCAGCCTTCTTTTTAATTCATCCCCCCACCCATTCTGCTCTAAAATCAAGTTCAACCTTCTTTTTATTCTGAGCTCCCCCCCCCCCCCCCATCCCCCTTTCTGCATTACATTACCTCCCTTCTCTGGTCAGCCCGGTTTCAGCCTGCAGTTGCCCCGGGTTATTTGGATGCTGTTTTGCCAACTTAAATTGCCTCAACTCGAACAGGCAAATGCAGAAAGGACCTTAAACACAATTAAGACCATTAAAATCAGTGGGTCTCTTAGGGGAATTTCAGATCACCCTTTTAAAGATGTTATTGTACTGTCTTGGAGTAAACCGGTAGAGGGGCAGCCATTTCACACAGCCTTTCCCTTACTGGTAAGGAGCTGTCTCTGAAGCAGTTTGGCATTTCAGACTGTGCCGCTTTGTTTTCCCGCCCTTTTCTGTCCGCGCAGGCGATCTTCGTCTTTTTTTAAAAAATGTTCTTTTAAGAGCGCTATAACACAATACCAAAACAGCACAATAGCGACCCCATTGGAATACCTGGACTCCATTGAGATACATGAGATTGGGGGATTTAAAAATAGGAAGTGGAAGCTCGGGAACGCACAGTTCGAGAGCATTTTTTAAAATACTAGCTGCTTCCCGGCTTGCAAACAGCATCCTCCTTTTGATGGCCAGCATTTCGGGATGCCATGCCATGCCTCCAGGGGGGATCTGGGGATCCCCTGTACTTTCAGTTACAGCTTATCTCCTGCCTACAGATATCAGTTCCCAGGCATATAGCAAATGCTGTGGAAGGAGGACTCCATGGCATTGTACTCCATTGAAATCCCTGTTCTCCCCAGATGTAGTGATCTCATGTATCTCAGTGGTCCAGGCATTCCAGTGGGGTCACTATTGTGCTGTTTTGGTGTTGTGTTATAGCGCTATAGCACTCTTAAAAGAATGCTAAAAAAAGACGGAGATCACCAACGCGGGCGAAAAAGGGCGGGAAAACCTCGTCATTGGAGGAAGCGCTACGGGGGCATTTTACACAGCACCCCATAGCACTTCAGGAATGGTATAGAAAATTGAAGACCGCTTGGAAGCAGTTTGCAGGTAAAACGGCTCAAGAACTGTTCCCTAATGGGACAGGAGCATTTGTGTCTGAAAGGGTCAATATATTCTGTTAGGGAACCGTCACTAAAATGTTTCTGCCTGAAATGTCAGTACAGAAACTGTTAGTGAACAGTTCCTGAAATGGAACATACCGGCTGTCTGAAATTCCCCTTAGAGTGCTTAATTTTATGCAGCAGGGGCTCTGACATTGGCAGCTATCACGGAAGGTACTGAGATCTATGTGCATACAAATCTTTATTTGTTATGGACAGTAATGGAAGGTCTTAGCATTCTGAACTACAGGTGTCACATACTAATAATGTTTTTGAAATTTTCAGCCCAGTTCGGGATACAGTTGTAACAAATGATCGCTGGGGAGCTGGCAGTATCTGTAAACATGGAGGATATTACACTTGTTCAGATCGCTACAACCCAGGACATCTTTTGCCTCATAAGTGGGAAAACTGCATGACAATTGACAAAAAGTCATGGGGATACAGGAGGAATGCACAGTTGAGTGATTACCTCACAATTCAAGAACTTGTAAAGGTAAAATTAGACAAAGACATAACCTGGTAATTGAATGAGGGCCATTAATGCTTGCATTTCCCCCCAAAACATGACGAAAAACTCTCATTTTTTAAAAATGAGGAGAAATACATTTCCTGCCTCCACACAATTCATTCTGTTTCTCCTCTAAATGTACTTTCTCATCACCTCCCCATCCAGATCCCTCCCTCCAATTTCCTCTTCTTATACCTTCTCTGTCCCCTTAAATTTCAGATACAGTCTTTATATTAAGCATGGAAAGGAAATTTTAACGGAAGGATAAGAATTAAGACCTAGTCAATGCATGCAGCAGAATGAGAAAATAAGGCAATAGAAACCAGAGGTGATGATAGTACAGACTGTAGCACTTCATATGCCTTGTGGAGGGACCACATTTCTAAATGTTACCCCATGTTTCCCCTCCGCAAAAAATTCCAAGTGGAGAACTGGCCCTGTAAGTTATAACTCCCTTCCTTATTATGCTATTTTGAGGTGGGGTGTACAGTTTTTTTAAATTGGGAAGCATTCAAATGGCATCCCTCATCTTAAGTTTAAATTGGTACAGTGCACTTTATCGCCTTGGGATTCTAATACCTCATTTTGCTGCACATGTATAGATCAGTCCATTGGACTTGCTTTAAGTAGAAAATGAACATACCAGTATCAATTTGACCGTGCAATAGGTACTTTACCCGCTGGTCTCATTGTGCTGGCTGCCACAGGAAATAGTACGGAAACAGTATTGGTAAGTCCATAGCAGAGAAGTCCTGTGATGATTCACGGAAGCTGCAGCTCCAATTGAATAGCTAGACTTTGTTTGAACCTACAGCAAAGTACTCTCAATGTTATAATGGACATGGGGATTTAGGCCTAACTAACTATGTTAACTGGCACCTTTAGAACACTTCAGGCTTAAGCGGTATGTCCATTCCTACCACAAATCAGCTCTTATGTCTTCCAAATAATTTCAGCAACTTGTAGAAACTGTGTCCTGTGGAGGAAATCTCTTGATGAACATTGGACCTACCCATGATGGTCGCATTCCTGTTATTTTTGAAGAGCGCCTGACACAAATGGGGAAATGGCTGTCAGTGAATGGGGAAGCCATTTTCAGTACGAAACCTTGGAGAGCTCAGAATGATAGTGTTACACCAGAAGTATGGTAAGTTCACCAAAGTGGGGGTGAAGTCAGACATGCTTGCAAAAAAAAAAACTAACTTGGGTTTTTCAGCTGTAGGGTAATTTCTGGAAACTCTGCCTTTGCTCTTTGACAAGAGAAACTTTGTCAAGCCATTGAATGCAGATTTAGCAAATTCCATTCAGCTTAATACCTGTGTGAAGTACAGCTTTTGTTACCATCTCACAGTAAATGTTCAAGTGTGGAAACTCAGAGAAGTATGTGGGGAAAGCAGAAGGACAGCCTTTTTCTACAGTATTTCTTGCTCTGTGTTTTCAAAACTCTCTTCTGAGGTAGACTACTAGAGGCTGTCCTCCACCCTTCAGATATATGTAATGTTTCTGGTTTATAACTTCAACCATGTCTTAAACTAAATCCATTCAACTGTTCTTTCTTTACTTAACTGTAACTCCCTGATTTTTAAAATTTCTTCCAGGTACACTTTCAAACCAAAAGAAAATGTCTTGTATGCCATTTTCCTTAACTGGCCATCTTCTGGATTTCTTCTTCTTGGTGAACCAAAAGGTATTGCTGAAAGGACAGAGGTAAGAAGTATTTGCCTATTTTACTACTTTTGTGCAATTCATGTTGAAGCTGAAGGACTAGCCAGAATCAAAACCTATTTCAGTCCCCTATTTCCAACACCTTCCCAAGAAGAGAAAGCCAGTTGGCAAGGAATGAGTACCTGGATATGCTATGAAGAAACAATAGTCTCCAGAACTACACTGGTACAGCACCAAATAACATTGTAAAAGTTGGGACTATGGAAAATACTTTCACATGTACGTCATGTAGTTCTAGAAGTGTAGTATATATCCAAATTGAACCTAGTACATATTAACAATGAATATTTAGTGACTATCCTGGCTGATTGCCTGTGGCTGAAGAGAATAGGCAGCAGCAAGGAGGAGGGATTGAAACACGTAACTCCTAGGTGATTGCAGAATTCTCTTGTTCATCTATAACTTCTCCCATCTCCAGAGCCTTAGTTTCCTTCTACCTTAATCCAGCAAGGGAGATTCAGAGTCTCTTGTATAGTTGGGGGAAGATATGTATCCATGGACACACTGTAGATCTTATCTAGAAACCCATTGAAATTAATGAATGTAGCTGGTGTATCCCCATTCCCGGCCAACACAACACAATTGAGCTGAATCAGGAGTGTTCGTGTGTTTAAATATCCCTTGCCTACACTAAACTGCATCCAGGGGAACTTAATTTACGAGCCATGGTAAATTAAACAAAGCACATTTAACATGCTTTCTTAGATGTAACATGTTTCTTTGATGTTCTAGTTGAAGTGGTAGAACTGGTTTTATTATTAGCTGAAATATTCATTTAAGTTTATTTGGGAGGGCAAAGATTGACACAGTTTATTTGAACATCACTTAATATCAGCCTTTCTGTTTCAGGTAAAAATGATTGGATATGGAGAACCACTGAAATGGACTTCTTTAGGAGAAAAGGGAATGGTAGTGGTTATACCTCAATTACCCTTTAGCAAATTGCCCTGCGAATGGGGTTGGACACTGCAGCTGACCAAAGTAAATTAGTGGCAAATATCCCTTACCTTTGAATTGCCATTACAGTACTTTAACGATCAGATCTCGGTCAACACAGTTATTTTTGGAAGGGATGTGGGTATCCACACACTGATTCTGTTTTCTATTTTGTTTCTCACCATGTGAAATGGGGCCCTATCAACAGGGCACCATGTCAAAAAAAGATGTTTATAAAATTTGAAGTGATTTCAGAAGTTCATAAAAGGTGAGAAATTCAAAACGTCACATTTTCTGCTTCAAAAAGTGTTAACCTACCAGGCCAAAGTCTACTGTAAACCATAGAGAGGTTAAGGGAATCCTTGACAGAGATAATCTGAAGTACAGCCCCTCTATCCTTTTAAGCTTGTCGTTTATTATACTGACTCCGAACAATAGCTTTTTTTTTAAAGCAGCAAGCCTTTATCCAGCTAAAGATAACCACAACTGTACCTTTACACGAAAGAGACATTCTCACTAGTTGCTTCACTGAGACTGGAGGACAAACTAGATGTGATGATGTCCACAGGTCTGACTGGTGGACACCACTGCTATGTTAAAGAAGTTTAAAAATGTCACAAGGGCTTGATCCTGATCCAGGTCTGCATCCCAGTGGTATGAGGTGCTCTTGTATTGAAACAGCTGCTGGGTGGTGTGGGGGACACACACCAAGACCCCCCCAGCCCACCATGCTGCAGGCCCTTACTGGCCGTGGCTGTCACGTTTAGTCTCGCCCTGAGTCATGATGAATTTTAGAAAGGCTGCTGCACAGCAGGGCTAGGATCCTAATCTCGACTGACTGCACATGGTCTACAGCTGTACATTAATGCTTTTGTAATGGGCAGTTAACGATTAGGATTGTTAAGGTGCTGCTGTCTCGGGGATGTTTATTGATTTTTAAATAACCTGATAATCTTATCTAAATGTTGGTGATACACTTACATCTACCTGGAACACTTTTCCACAGCTGTTTTATCTATAAACAACTACAGGGTAGTTTTGTGATAAGTCAGTGCTGGCATCCAGCAAGGCTTGCCTTTCGCTCTGTATTCGAACCTTGTTATGTTGAGGACATAACAGAACAAAGTCTAGTTCAGAAACAGGTATATGAAAAGGAGGTTATTTCTTTTGTCATGGGATATTAATTAGCAGCAAGAAGACAAAATATATTGACTGTTTCATTACATATTGAATAGATTTAATTTTCTTTTTGTTAAAAAAACTTTTTAAAACCAAATGCAAAGCTGGTTATTTTTCCTTTATCAAAACTGTATGAACAAAATTGACATATGGACATTCTCTTGCATTTTGACAGTTACTGCACACAGTCTTCGTTAACAGGTATTTTATAGGGCTTCCATTAATACAAATTAAAAATATTTACAAATGAACATATACAGCAGTAGCTGTTTGCCAGCAGTGTAAACAGTATTTTCTAAAACCAAACTATGCCCAAGTCTGAAACATTTGAGCAAATCCTTAGCATGGCATTGTTTAGAGATTAGTAGGCCCTCACCAGATGCTCTTGTACATAACCTCCAAGCTAGAGAACCTCCACACAGAGAAACTGAAACTTCTATCGATGGAGATAAAATAGCCTTCTTGTAGCCCTTCTAGGAGAGATCATCACAGTAATGAGCTTTCTTGCAGGGGGGGGGGGAGAAATGCAGGAAAGTGTGGCCTTGTTTAACAGCTGCTTGGTGCTCAGAGATGCTTCACCTAGAAGCCACTTAAAGCATTCATCTGCCATTGAGAGGAGAGAGGCAGAGTTTGCAAGCAGGTTCCTGGATACAGTTATCCCCTTCTTTCTCTCCCCCTTCCTTACCATCCAGCTATGCCTCAGCAAATCCATGAATAGAAAAACTTTGCCCCCAAGTTGAATGATCTCACTGTCTTAGGATATGATTGGAAAAAAATCTTATCCCAATTGCATTCTATTAAGAAATAAAACAGCAAGTTCTGGCTTCTATTTATGTTGTAGCCTGCACAATTTTAAGAACAGAGGTACATCCCTCAGGATGTATGATTGCACTGAATTTTTCTGTAAACAAGTTATTCATAACTAAGACTGCTTCAGTACAAAGGCTTATATAGTACAATGATTTTTTTTCTCCACTACTTTAAATCAGGGTTTGACATCTGTTCCAAAATAAAAACTAAAAGTTGTATTTCTGTATGTTGTCTTGTGGTCTATGGTCCTCACCATTGTTACATTCATGAGATTCCTTATTAAATGACACTCTCATGTGGAACAGACACTGAGAATATATCATGTATTCTTCTTGTTGCACAGTTCATTTCTCTAGTTGTTGAGGAGTACTGAAGGCTTCATACACATTAGCAGCAAAGTCTTTCACTTGTTCCATTGTTAACAGATCCTGGAAAGAGAGTACAAATGAACTCAGTGCTACAGCAAGAAAAAAGTCCCTAAGGACTGGCAACATCATAGAAGACATTACACCCACACTGGAAGCACACTAGGGCAGGGCAAGCACTCTTAAACCATCTCCATCTCAGTTCCAGATCTCCTCTAGTGAGGACATACAGATGTTTTGGGACAAGAGGAAGATGTGGTGAGATAGACAATGCATGAAGTTACTTTGAGGTTTCTCCTCAACAATTATCTCTCCTTTTTCCTTTACTCACACCAATTTACTCTTTAAGAAGGAGTAACTAGTAAAAAGAAGAGTATGATATCAACATTAGGGAGATAAAAGCAATCAGTATAATAGGGGGAAAAGAGAGGGCAAGGAGATAAAAGTTCAGTGAGAAGCATGGGTGAGCGAAAGTGTTAATTGGGAGCTAGTACACACCACCTGCAAAACAGGCTGGATGTATTCCTGCACTTGCCTCTGGAGACAAGCAACGGCTTTCTGTACTACTGAGTCATCTTCAAGGGTAAGGCTACATAATGTGCATTACAGTCATTTCCTACAGATTACAAAAACATGAATGAGCATGCCCAGCCAAACCAGCTGCACCAGAAGTAAGATCTGGGTGATCTTTCCCAGACATGTTAAAATCAGACCACTTCTGCAGGCAGAGGCAGGAAGGGCCGTTTCACCCCCTCCCCCATGTGGCTATTACCCCATGCAGGTTCTATGACCCTGTGAATCAGCCTTCCTGGGGTTGGAAATGTATGACCGTCAGCAACGTCTGCTGACAGACTATTGGATCCAACCCCATGGATTTATGTTGTGGTCCCATTCCAGATGCCATAGCCACCAGTGAAGGAAGATTGTTAGCGGAATGGAATCACATGGGGAACAAGCTAACATCAGCAAGGATGAGCAAATTCCTACAGAAAAGACTGGAACCACACAACAGCCAAGCCTGACATTTCTGTATATATATAAGCCAGGTTAACAATTATAGCATCCATCATATCAAAAGCAAAAGCAGCTCAGAGTATGTAGACAAAAGACACACTTCATCCACCAGGGTCACTAAAACTTTCTCAATCCCTTAACCAGGCCAAGAACCCAACTAAAGAGTCAAGGATGAAAAATTAAGAATTCCTACTCAATAGCCACAGAATGAAGATGTTCAGCAGTTCTCATCTATCCTAGTGTTTTTATCCATGTAGGTTCCTGAACATTCCACACTGCCTCTTTTCCTTTCTTTTTGAGTAGCATATTTTAAAGAATAAGCCATTCTGGTAGCAACCTGTTTATTCTTAGTAGAGTTATTAGTGCAATTTCTGACAGTAGTACCGCACAGGCTGATAGAGTGTGCTCTTAAACACTGACGGTCTTAACAGACTAAGGCAGCAAACCTACAACTCTTCCTTACCTGAACAAAATGACTAGGTGTTTCACTGCAGACTGAATGGATCTGCCCATTTATTATTGGAATTATCTTGGCTAATGGAAGACTGACACTAGAAAGACTAGGAAAAAGAAGAACCAATGAGAAATAGTCACAGTACAAAAATCAGTCTTGAGTTATTTCTGCAATATGCAGGTGCCCCTCTTCTTCTCAAAATGGCTGTAAAAATAAAGAATACCTGCACCACATGCCTGCCAGGCATCTTTCCAAGGTTATTTATACTCCTTCCAAGCCTCAGCCCCTGTATAGGCTATTTGTGGTCACTAATGAGAAGTCAAATAAAATAAACATCTATGTATGCAGCATTTTCTCTGTTTATACTGGTAAATTTTATCTGACCAGACAGTATTACAGTAGGGCCCTTTCCATAATCAGGTGCATATTCATTGACCTATGTTTTACAGATGCATGACTGGTAGAGTCTCCTATGGCTCAATTTGTATGTTCTAGTAGCATTTGAAGGAAGGTGAACACATGCATGAGGCTAGCTTTGAAACTTTGCATACTAGCATCATCCTGACCCAGGTGACACCAATGAGTAAAGTAAACCACACTGACAGCTCCATCCATATGCTCTGCATCTTTCAAAATACTATTGTAGCAGAGTGTGAGCACTTTGTGTGGAATCCAAATAACATGCAAGATACCTCATATGAAGCCTATCTATGCACAGTTGCTCACCACATGAATAAGAAAAACCAGCCATGTTTTCTAATGCTGAGATTCAGCCATTACTAATCATGTAGTAAATTTTAAATAAATCAAAATACAGCCTGACCGTAAGAAGAACATAGCTAGAGATAACTTTATCAAGGTTTAGCTTATTTCTAGAAGTAACATGCTGCATGCTGTCAGTGAACTCTCAACATATGCCTTAGTTTCTCCAACAAAACATAACTACATCATTTCTTGTCTTTAATCAGATCCTGTTAACATCAAAAATTGAGTTTACCTTTTAAAGTAGATCAAAGCTTTTTACCTGTTCACAGAGCCACTGTCACCTATGTCCTGTTCAGTGGGTCTGAAGAATTCTGCCATGTTGTCCAGTAATCGACTGAATCCTCTATTTAAGCACGAGCTCAAAACTCTGTTAAAATCTGGACTGGAAACACACATAAATCCCCCCCCCCCATTATTAACCAGTCTTGGATAGAATCTGTTTTTTAAAACCTGAGTTGTAGTACATTCTTCTAATAGGGAGATCAGGCACAGGAACCACAAGTCAGGCAGAAGGACAAGCCTGCTCATCAGTTCATATATTGGCATTGTTTAGAGATTAGTAGGTTCTCACCAGAACCCCGGTTTTGTCATCATCCACAGACATCTTTCAGGGGAAAACTGCACTTGTTTTTGGCAGAATGCCATACAGAAGTCTACAACTTTGTCCCTTTAGGACATCATCACTTGCACATTAGAAAACAATGTCCTCAAAGTACAGCCACTGGGCAGTTTTCTTTCTGTGGGCAGAAAAGAACCTCGGGCAGAATTCCACCCCAAGTAATTCATTAACTATATTTTTCACTGTGCTAAAGGATTAATGTGTTACTTTCAGCATACAGCAATAAATCTGAGACCACCAAATTTTTAACAATCTGAATTAACAGAAAGAATATTAAAAAGCAAAAGTATCAAAATCTATTTTGTTTCTGACATAAATCCACTTAAAAAGACACAATGGAACTAGCTTGTTACTACAGCACAGAACTCACAATGTTTTTCCACAGCGTTTTACAGTGAAATGTTATTTCTTTAGATAAATGTAATTGCCTAGAGGAAGCCTGTACAACTTGTGACAAAGTAAACAATGTACCTTATCAAAAACTCAGCAGAACTACTGTTTTTGTTAAACAGAATTGTCAAACATCAGGTAAACCACAACACCTGACAGGTCACAGGGTGTACAGATACGCAGTAGGAAATGATTTACGGCCCCAACATACAAATGGCTGTGTGGGGACTGAGCCACAAAGTACATGTGAGACTATACCACATAGTGAGAAAGTTAGGTATTAATTGCTCACTAGGCAGAAAATTCCACTTCTGACTTCCCATTTCAAGAAACAACAACAAAAGAATAGGTGAGATCACAATAAAGTAGAAGTCCTTTAAAGCGAGAAACAAACAGCTACCATTCAGATTCAACTCCTAAATGTTTAAATGGGAAAGAAGCAATATAGAGACTCTTCACTGTATAAATAAGACTGTTGTATAATCTTTTCAAAAGCTAAATATGCATAGCTATTACAGAAAGTTGTATAAAGCACTCCAGAACTTGAAAATTCAAACACAGGTCTTCAAATTATGTTATCCACCAAATTTAAATCAAACGGTGTGTCCACTTTTTCTTCCTTAATCCAGTGGATATGTGTAATGATTCCTTGTTTTATGTGTGTGTGTGTGTGTGTCTTTAAAAGTTTGGTTGCATGGCGGTGTTAAGTAGACTAGAGTGGTTGAGAGAAGCAAGCGTGGTATGATTGGTGGTTGACAGAGAGGGGGAGGGGTTTTGGAAGTGATTCTGAGTAGATGAATATGTATGCCTGTCAGGAGTGACAGTTACAGGTTGGACAGTTGATGAAAACAGTGAAAATGAGCAGTTAGTTCTGAGTTCTGTGAGAGAAGCAGAGAGAAGTTCAGTTTGCTCTAAGTTCTGTGTGGGGAATGAGTTAGACAAGCTGTTAGTTCTGTGTATGAAGGAAGTTACAGAGAATAAGAAAAAGTAAATAAAAGTTTAATTGAAGACAAATTACAGGAAAGGCTATATGTCCTGATATCTTGGAGAGAAACAGTGCACTTATAAGACCTTAAGTTAAAGTGTTACAAAGTTACCTGAAAGATCCCTGTCAGTAAGGGAGCAGATCTTGTGTGAGACACGAAGCAATTGTTCAAAATATTCACATTACTGGTTACATTGTTCTACCCTTTTATTTATGAATGATTTAAATAAATCTTCTTTTATTTAAGTATACCAGCTCTGAAAGGAATACTTCTTCAGAACTACATAGTTCCTCATGAGCCTTAAACTCGACCTACCTACCCAGTGATAACAAAAGCATAAAGGTTTGGAAAGCCTTAAATTTCCTGGTGGCAGCCAGATACACCCAGTAGAATAACAAAAAGAACACTTTTAAAGTGAAACCAGTCCTCCCCAATAAGGAGGGCATCACAATATGGTTTCAGTGTTAACATCAATTATCATCAACAAGAGCCAGTGTGGAATAGTGGTTAGAGTGTCTGACTAGGATGTGAGAAGCCTGGGTTCAAATCCCCACTCCACCATAGTAGCTCGCTGGGTGACCCTGGGCCAGTCATACTTTCTCAGCCTAATTTACCTCACAGTGTTGTTGTGAAGATAAAACAAGAACGTGGTAAGCCACTTTGGGTCCCCTCTGGGGAGAAAAGGAGAATATAAATGAAGTAAATAAATCAGCAAAATATTTTTCTGCATACCTTTCCAACATGTCTCTTGTTTCATTAAGCAGTTTAATAGTAGCAATATCTTTTTCTGTAAGACCACAGGCCTAGAAAACAGAAAAGTATAAAAAGAACGTGCATAGTGCCACAATGGAAGATTCAGCAACTGGTCAAAATATATCTCTTGAAGACTATAAGAGTTTCCAAAGTGTCCTTCAAGAACTGTACTGAGAGCAAACTAAAACAGCACAACAATGTAAATAACTCTTATTGACTTCTTTAAATGCTTTTATTGAAATCAGTTTAACTTGAAAATAAAGCTTTTAAAATCCTGTTAGCTTTCAGGTTGTCCTCCTAGGGTCCTAATGAATAGGATACAAGGGCTCTTCACAACAGCATTTCACACAGAAAGGGAAACCATGGAAGTCATGTTCCTTGCATGGGTATCTTTGAACAAGGGAGCAATGTGCACATGTGGGCCTTTGCTTTGAGCATGTGCCTTTGAATTCTGAAATGGAGGAGTTTGTGCTTGGTGTATAAATTTCTTGGTCCCCTGACTTTGAATGAACTGCCAATTGCAGAAATCTCTCATCTGTCCCTTGGTTTCTTTTTGCCAGTAAGTCCCCCGGAAAAGTTCTGAGCAGAGAGACTTTCATTTTTTAACCACTAAAAATACCCCCACCCAAACTCCAGATTAGTGAATTACTTAATTTGAACTAATTATTGGGTTTTTTGGTTTGCAGAGGTTCAGTTCTAGTTCAACAACTAAGAGACTATTGGTTTAAGATTATGTTCTGATTCAGTTTAAAAAACAAAACAAAAAACCCCCAGTAACAAACAGCTTTCAGGTTTCAATTCAGTTTTATCCCTCCTGAGAAAATATGTAAATACCTGGGTAGCTAAAGGGTTTTCCTCATCTGGCATCATGTAACGACAAAGCAGAGACTGAGGTCCACTTTCTTCAGGTTTGGTAGCCTCTGTAGGCAGTTCTATTACTGTTCTAATCTCTTTTAGCTTCTGCTCCAAATCCAAGAGAGAAAGAGTGTGTTTCAGAGACATACTGCACAAGGAAGAGAAACCAAACTGCTGTATCAGTGGCATATCTCTCAATTAGTTGTTCTGAGTATGTGTGCAAATTTAAAATATGATTTAAAAACCAAACATACAGCCACGTTTACCTTCCAAATATTTTCTGCACAGCTTTTTTAACCACAGTAATTAATTCAATCAGACCTGGGACAGAAGAAAAACGTTTCTGAAAACTACAATTTCTTCAAATTTTGCAAAAATTGGCATGATGTGCAGAGGAAAAAGTTTACAGATGTCATACCATCTCCTAGAAGGTGCTGAATACTTGATAAATATTGTTGTTGGACTTCAGGGGGAGCTAGAAGTATCTATAAGGAGAAAAATATTCTGTAATATTTTTATCATTTTGTTGAGCAGGATTAAGTTCCCCAAGTGTCTGTACATACAGATTCCACCCTCCTTGCCTTGTTTCTCACCTACTGCTGGGAATATTTTCAAGGTATTGTATCTTTCATCATAGACTACTGAGAGGGCAATGAACTGTGACAATTAAGATCACATTAAAATAAACCTTACAGAGCTTCTCTCTTGCTGAACATTATACTTTTCCAATTTTATGTTTTTCTCACTTTAGAGCTGAGTAGGTAACCCTGTCAACACCAAACAAATGGAAAAGGTCATTTCCTTTTCTCTTTACATTTACCTTTAAAAAAACATTCAAGAAACATGTTCCTTATTTCTTAGCATCCTTCTGTTTAATCTTTCTCTTGTAGAAATTTATTTTAAATATATCCAGTAGGTTAGATCCTAGGGTTTTGTAAGTTATTTGTAGCAGTGGATGTCCCCCCCACCCCACTTCCTCCTGGACAGCAGCTCTGATACACAAAAGAGGTATTTGCTTAGGGTCTCAAAGGAGAGCTTGCTGTGCGGTGCTTTGTCCATCCATACAGAAGCAAGGTAGCCTTCCATGCCTGTTGGCTTTTCAGCCACAATGGCTACCTCTCATATGCCTTTTCAGAAGTTGCAAAGGACCACTGCAGGAAGGGGAAGGTGGGTAAGATCTTCTGCTCATGCAGCTAAAGGATACAACCCATTATGTGGATAATTTCTGTGTTATTTAAGCATGTATAATACATTTTCATCACCCTTACTGCTTTTTCAATTCTTTATATTTATAGTCTTCAAAAGATTTACTTACTGTGCCATTTTTGCAAACTGCTGCATTATCCAAGTAGATGTATCCACCAATGATGTTTAACTGCACACGCAGAAGAACAACAAGCATACATGTGCTATACACAGCTACAATGCTTCTTGTAAAACCTTTAATAAAACAAGAAGAGCATTGGCTTGACACTGTGCAAAAGGAATGAGCATTTAATGCCCTATCAAACATAGGTTCAAAATCAATAAAAGGGTACTACCTTCCAGCTACGTATTATGCTTTTGTGACTATGACTATTACTACTGTGTTTCTTTAAAATCTGAAATGAGGACTAAGCTTCTGGTGTTAATTTGAAAGGGGGGGGGTCCCTGTTTTTGAAAATCTTCTAAAACCAGGATATCTTTTGTATAATAAAACAACCCATGAGTATGAAAGGAAGGTAATTTTGAATTAGCAGCAATAAATGTGGAAGGAATTAAGGTGGTATGAGAAGAAATAATTTTGAAATCTGAAAAGGGTCCAGTAACAGCTGACTTGATGTTCACTCAATCTGAGTAATGTGGAACTGAAGCACCCTTTACAATTCTGTAACACTTTATACTTCATGTACAAAACTGCTTTAGTCATTTTAACGTATATTCACTACCACCTGAAGTCTTGTTATGGATTCAGCCTTAGTTGTAGTGAAGAAAGGCTGAAGTGACTCATAAGTGTATAAATAAAAGGCAGCAAAATAATATTTGAAGGTAATAAATTAGAAATCCAAAAGCAAAACCAGGTTTTAATGAAGGTTTAAAAAGATACAGAATGTTTAGACTGCATAAAAACCCCTTTTTTCTGTACTCAAAGCACTTGAGAAAAGTAGCATTTCTTCAATCCAAAATTTGTACAAGAAATCCATGGGCCAAAGGGGGAAAAAGTAGTTGTTTTTTTTTACCCCAACACCAAAACAAAATGATTTTCTTTCTCTCTTCTCTTCCAAGCAGCTGAATGTTGTTTCTTATTATCAATATTACAAGTGCAAGTAGTGATTACTGGACAATTTCAAATGAGGAAAAAGACATACTCCTTAAAAGACTTACAAAAAGCTTCATACTAGGAACTATTTAACCAACAGTATTCAATATGTAGTGGGTTGGGCAAGGGGAATGGGAACCCATATCTTTGAAAACAACCAAAACTTTTGCTGTGCTTGTACAGTTCTCATGCATACATAAAGAGCCTCCCTCAATCATCATGAGTTATTCCAACTTACTTATAATCTTCAAATCTTCCCATATTTCTAACTTGTTGGATGGTCTATGAGGGGGAAGAAAAATAAAGAAACATACATTTAAAACTGAGTTGCCCAATTTAAGTAAATGCCAATATGAAAAAAGAATGCCTTTATCAAATGTTAGAGGTGATGCAAACATTAGAACAGTGACTGAGGAAGCAGCATGCTTTGGACAGGAAGTTACGCTGTAAACTAGTCTGCTATATTACAGAACTACCTGTTTCAGCATGACCTTTGTTCATGTAGCTCCTGTCAGGTCAGTCTTTTTATCAGTATTTTTTTAATCAGTATTAAAAAAAAAAGAATCGAAGAATCATACATTTTGGAGTCACTGAGTCAGCATGACTGTTGCAAGGTAGCTCCAGGTAAACCAGGTTTTACACTTTATGACCTCTGAAACAAACTGTTATGGCGCTGAAAAACTTCTCTGTGGTATTGTGGTGTTAGAAATAGCCGATCTTTTCTTAATTTCTAGTCTCCAGAGTCCTCTGAATAAAGGACACCGCTTTCTGTTTATAAAACATATTGGGCTGGACTCAAACTCCCATAACTAGCCGTTTGCAGAATCAGATTGCTCTGCTGCTCCCTCCCAAAAAGTTACTGCTGAAAGTTGGAGGTTCCTCTTGAATAAAATCTTATGTGCCATAGAGGACTGCAGGAAGGTTAATGGGCTTGAGATCTGTTAGTGCAAGATCTTTTCTTAAAGCATATTTTTTCTTAATGCATATGAGATTTTACACATGCTGTGAAATTTTTAATTCTTATCTGTCAGGATAAAAGGGCTTTAAAAGCTTTACCAGGCTGCTGAAAATAACTCTCCCACATCACTGCAACATAAGTGCACATCACATAGCCCTAGTCTACAGAACAGGCATCCACAGAACATCTTCTGACTCTATGAATAAATTGACAGGTTATACTCACTTGTTTTTCAGCAGAGAAGTGAGGCTCTCAGAATTCAACTGATACATCAAAGCATCCTTCAGGGTTGGAAGCATTGAAAGTACTATCAACAGAAAGCAAGTGATCAGTAAACTAAACACAGTTTGGGAAATGTCATGAACAAATTTTAAAAGGGTGATCTTCAGCCTGTATACCAATGAAGGAACATGACAGTCCAAGCAGCAAGAAGAGAATATCTCAACTAAAACAAAATATCAGTATGACATTACCACTGTGTGTTTTGGAAAAATTATAAAAAATCAAAAGGCCACTTGTTTTGCCTCTTGTTTAAAAAATAAAAACTCAGAACACATCTGAAAGAATGAGTGATAAGTATACAGTTGCTATTTCTAACTTTGGTCACCCCACTTACTAAAAAGGATGAACTCAAAGCAAAACAAGGGCTAAGTGCAACCACAAAACTCAAAACTATTTTGTGACTAAACAGATCTGAGCTAGCTTGACTTAGAATAAGGAAACCCCTGCCTGAATGTACTCGGTTTTTAAATATATAAGGTTACACAAGAATAGACAATGGGCCATAAAAAGTATACAGTGTTTCCTCCCTTCAACTTAGAATAATGAACCAAAATAGACAAATCAGCTCAAAACTGCCACATTCTTCAGGCCTTTTAGCTTCAAGACCAGTAGGCCATGTAACTACTGAGCGGCTGTTCAAGAAATGCAGAATTAGAAGTGCAGTTATTTAAATCTCAGCAATCATGTGCACTTGCCTATGTTAAGTTTGATCTAAGGGACAGAACCAATTCATATTTTATGGCAAATCTTATTTTTTAATATGACAGTTTGTTTATAGTACAATCAACAAATACACAAGCATGAAACATATTACAAAAAATAACATAACAAAGACTCTGACGTTAGAAACCATGACTTTTGCTTAATCAGAAAAAGAAATAGTAATAGTAATAGTAATAATAATAATAATAATAATAATAATAATAATAATAATAATAATAATAATAATAATGGCTTTATCTAGCAGTCAAAGATCGTCTAGCAGCCAAAAGTCCTAGCTCTTTAGCGTTATGCACCACTAAGTGGCAAACTAGACTTGTTTTTTAAAGGCAAGAGACATTTCAGAGGCGGTTGCGACTGCCTGCCTCTGCCTCATGACCCTGGTATTCCTTGGAGGTCGCCCTTCCAAATAGTAGCTAAGGCCGATCCTGCTTAGCTTCCAAGAGCTGATGGGATTGGGCCAGCTTGTGCCTGAGAGCCAGTGTGGTGTAGTGGACAGAGTGGCAGACTAGGACCCAACTCAAGTTCAAATCCCCACTTCTGCCATGGACCTTGGGCCCATCATAGTCTCTCAGCTTGGCCTATCTCATAGGGTTGTTGTAAGAAAACAGAGGACAGGAGAATGATGTTTTAAGCTGCTTTAAGTCCCAACTGGAGAGAAAAGCATGATATAAATAAATAAATAAATAAATGCAAATGCAACTGACAAGCCAGAGTTTACAGCCATTGTTCAACCTCATGAGGCTGCCTCACTATGGAGGCAGAAGTAAACTAATGAAGCTGAATTCTAAAGCAACAGAAAACAAAAGCAGACCAGTCAGTCTACACCATGGTTTGCCTAAGTATCGTTAGTGCAAACCATGGTTTACTATGAAGTCACTGAACCACAACCATGGTTTGCTGTTATATGGACTAGCTTTCCTATGCTTTGAAGGCTTTTCATGCTGGCTCACACAAACTCAGCTCTCACTTCCCCTCCCAGAAAGTAGTCTGATTATGGTTCACATTTTCCCTGCAGACCATAGATCAGACAAAACCAAAAGTAACAAAAGCAGAACTATCTTGATGGATGCGAGGGGGGGGTCAATTCAATTTATTTCTACAGTCCTTAGACCAGTCATACAAAAAGAAGTACACCTTTACAATATTCCAAGATTTTAAGATACATCAGTGACACATTAAAAGCAAATTAAAATTTAATCTAATATCAAACAACTATATCTAACTAGCTACCTTAGAGTTTCCGTGATCTGAGTATCACCATACAGAAACTGGCTACTTGGTGGGTAATTTTGGGGTTTCTATCAGACAGAAGAAACTCGAGTCTAGCTTTTTCGGAAAGACCTGGAATTTGTTCAGTCAGCGGAGTGATTTCATTACGCGCCACCTTATAATACGGACATATAAAAAACATGTGCTCTGTAGTCTCAACCTCCCTTAATGGGCAGGTACAAAGCCTTTCTGAGAAAGGAGTATTCTTGTATTTTCCTTCAAGTACAGCAGAAGGGAGGGCAGAGCACCTCGCCAGAGTGAAGGCTCTTCTAAACCCTTTTCTTCAAGAGATGTTAAATAGTCGGCTGGACCCACAGTATTTTTGATAATTCCCCTCATCTTAATGTTTTGTATGCTGGAAAGATCAGTTTGGCATTCTATATCCTCAATTCTCTGAGCGAGGGGGGTAGGAGCAGAGTTTGTGTGAGCAAGCCAGATATTCTTTCAAAGTTCATTCATATTATGAGAAACCATGGTTTGCTTATGTGTCTGAATAATTATCTATTTAGTTCATTTATACAACAAGCTTTCTGCCCACTAAAGGCACTCAAGATAGTTTACAAAAAGAAAATCGACTAAAGTACATAATAAAATACAGTTAAAAATACCAGAGGAAATAGATCCATAAAAAAGCAAGCCAGTCATATCAATAACAGCAATTAATTGTTATGAAAGAGAAAAGTATAATAATCATCATTCAAAAGTCTTTTGGAATAAAACTGTCTTCAGTCTGGTCTGGGTGAGGGAATTCTATAGCCCAAGATGGGCTGCTGAAAAAGTACTCCTAAAAGTGCTTACCAACCTAACCAGGCAATGTGGTTTCCCAAGGAAAAAGCTATCCATCGTCTGAAGTCTCAAACAGGCTGACATAAACGGAGACAGTCTTTCAAGCACTTGAAACCAAGGCCATTTAGGGCTTTAAAGGACTGACTCTTGAACTGGGGCTGGAAACAAACTAGAAGCCAGTGCAGTTAAAGAAAGCACAAGCGGGAACAACAAGGACTTGCAGGGGCATCTCTTTCCCTTCTCCACTATTTACTTTGCACCTTCTTTGGAAGTATCCATAGCCTCTTCCCTTCTCCTGCTTCCTTCTCCCCTTCCCACCACCAGCCTTTTATCTGCCTCTCATCTTCAGCTATATTTAATAACTTAACTGATACCCCTTCTCCAGAAGAGGGACACAAAGCAGCCTTACATCGTTCTCCTTTCTGTCATGTTATCATCACAACAACCCTGTGAGGTTATGCCAGGCTCAGAATGTGTAACTGACTAAGGTCACCCCTCCCCAGTAAGCTTCCATTGCACCCTTCCCCAGTAAGCTTCCATTGCACCCCTCCCCAGATCCTAACCTGCACAACACTGGCTTTTGTAGAGTGGCTGCTGTTGAACAGCAGCAAACAGCCAGGCCTGGGTGAGTCATGCAAGTTGTGCGGTAGCAAGCCACCCAGTGGCTGCTACTGGTCCTAGCCCTGATGAGTCCTCCCTTAAAGCCCAAAAGAGCCTTGGACAGGGCTTCTCCTTACCCCTGCCTTTTACTGACAGAAACCAAAGCTGGAAGCCTGGCGATATGGGTTTGCGTAGCAATAGCCACTGGTGGACCTTGTTTCTTAAAGCTACAAACACTTCTATTATTTTAGGAGCTTTTATCCCCCCCCCCTTTTTTTTAGATTTCAGATTTTTTTTTTGCAAAATGTCTGACGAAAGATATGACTTGTCCGACCATTTTCCCAATCTCTAGATTTAATTATCCACAGATGGGGCCCCGTTGAGAATTATATATTGTCAAGTGGACACCCGCAAGGACTTGTGGGAGGCATATCATTTCCCCCTCCCCCACTATTTCTTCTTTTCCTTTCCTGAAAGCCCCCAAGGTCTCTCCCCTTTTCCTGCTTCCTTCTAGGGTTACCAATCTCTGGGTGGGGGCTGGAAATCTACTGGAACCACAACAGACCTCTCAACTACAGAAATCAGTTCCCCTATTAGGGTTGCCAGATCCAGATAGAAAATCCCTGGAGATTTGGGGGTGGAACCGGGGGAGGGCGAGGTTTGGGGAGGGAAGCAACACTGGAAGGGTATAATGCCATGAAGTCCACCCTCCAAAGCAGCCATTTTCTTCAGGGGAACTGATTTCAGTTATCTGGAGAGCAGCTGTAATTCTGGATGATCCTCAGCCCTCACCTGAAGGTTAGAAGCCAAAAATTAAACATCACAGGAGGAAGTGGAATTCCAAAAACAACATCTGAGACAAAAATAACGAAGAGTCAATAAAGCATGTGAGCGATAATAGAAGAAAATTTTCTACAGAAATTACCACAGTAAACGTTTTTGCAACTTATCTTTATTGACTCTTCCTTATTTTTGTCACGGATGTTGTTTTTGGATTGGCAACCCTAGATCCCCCGGAGGAAATGGCTGCTTTGGAGGGGGGAGTCTAGTCATTATATTCCTCTGATGTCCCAAACCCCAGCTTCCCCAGACTCCTCCACCCCAGATTCCTAGGAATTTCCTCACCTCTTTAAATTTCCTCACCGCTTTCCCTGTTCTTAGCAATCCTCACATCCTGTCCCTGCCTCATTCTCTCCTTCTCAGCCATTCACTAACTTACGTTTTATCTGCATCCCATCTTCACCTACACTTATTCTTTACTTCATTTGTACCCCACCTTTCTCCACAGTGGGGACCAAAGTAGCTCAGATTATTCTCTTTTCCTCCTTTTAATCCAGACAATAACCCTGTGAGGCAGATTAGGTTAAAAGTATGTGACTGGTCAAAAATCACCCAGATGGGGACCCTAATCTGAAGCTTGAACTGCTACACCACACTTGCTTTCATAGGGTGGCTGCTGTTGAAGAGTAGCAAGCAGACAGGCCTATTTGAATCACGCAAGTTATGTGCCATCACGTCATCCAGAGGTTGCTGCCAGGCCCAGAGTTGCCAACCTTCAGGCATGACCTGGAGATCCCCCAGAATTACAACTGAACTGCAGACATCTGTCCCCCGGGAGAAAATGGCTACTTTGGAGGGTGGACTCTGTAGCATTATACCATGCAGAAACCTTTCCCTTCCCAAACCCTGCACTCCTCAGACTTCATCACAAAATTGCCAGGAATTTTCCAACCTGGAGCTTGGCAACTCTAGCCGGTCCTGGCCCTAATGAGTTTCTCCCTCAGAGGCTAAAATAGGCCTGGAAAGGGTCCTACCCCCTCCCCATACATTTTCTTGACAGAGCCAAGCTTGGAATGCTCTAGTTCAGTGGTGGTGAACCTATGGCACGGGTGCCAGAGGTGGCACTCAGAGCCCTCTCTGTGGGCACACGTGTCATCGCCCCAGCCAGGCCCAGACCATCATTAAAGTGTCAAATTCTCTGCCAAATAATTTTAAGTAAATGAAAGCATTTGGGATTGCTTTCCTTACTTTGTTTGGATCATCTTAAGTTAATGTATGAGTTGTTTTTTCTAAAGTAAAACCTCAGTATTCAGGTTAAATTGCCGTGTTGGCACTTTGCGATAAATAAGTGGGTTTTGGGTCACAGTTTGGGCACTCGATCTCTAAAAGGTTCGCCATCACTGCTCTAGTTACCTAGGAACAGCCACTGAGGGAATCTGTTGCTTAAAGTTAGAGGCAATCCTTTTATCATTTTTGGATTTTTTAAGTTGCTCAGTGTATTTTTTTAAAATTTAGGTTTCACATTTTTCTGCAAACCAGTCTGCAAATTCACAGCTCCAGTCACTGGATTCAAGTATCCAAAGATTTCCCGACTTTGCTATTAGAGTATAAGATGACGATGGGCTTCACGGCAGTGAGCCCCATCTAGAACGCATTCTGAATCGGCTGAAGTTTCCAAATCACTTAGTTGCCACACCTCCTAGTGATGTGCCCTTAGGCTAACGGCAGGTATCACAGAAAACGTTCACCCCCTGGAAGTAGCTACTTCCAAACAAAGAGCCAAACAGAAGTTCTGGGGCCAAAGAGGGCCAGGGCCTCCTCCCTAGTCTCTCTCTCTCCTTGCTGCTCTTTAATGGTGGCGGCAGCAGCACTCAAGAATGGGGAAAGAAACTGAAAATACGATCTTTCATCCCAGCTGGCCTGGTTGCTACGTTCTCTGGTACTCTCTGGTACTCTCTTACCTGTCATATTGCAAGTCCTCTGGTTACTTTCAAAATGATACTGCCTTCGTGCTTGTGCTATATATTCTGCCGCTTCTCTTTCTTGAATTTCTTTCATTTTTTTCTGCCCATATTTGCCAAGCACATATACTCCTGTGAAAGGTGTAGGAGGGAATACAACTTTTAAAACTGCAGTTAAGTTTGCTCTAAATTTGTTGTGTTCTAGAAGATATTTCCCTTTAAACAGCCACAGAACAACGGCAGAAATTCAAAAATGTTAATGTAGAGGAAATTATCACTGCTACCCTCAAGGACAGCAAGGAAGCCTGGATCTCATCCCGGAACAGGTTTATACAAACCCTCCCTCCATCCTCAGGCTGTTTTCCCTTAACAACATGATAATCAGAATGCGATTGTGACAGTAAACAGCCGCTTCAGAATTAGGCAACCAAAATTAAGCAACATTGTGTCAACTGACTGAACTAGTGGTGCCTACTGGGTTAAGGAACCCTAATCCATGAAAACTGCAGCAGTTTCACATGCAAGCAATAACTGTCATTACTAGACTCCGGGGTCGTTTGGGGCCGGAGCACGCTGGAGTCCCGCTCCGGCAGCCCAGGAGCAGGCACAAACGGTGGTGGAGAGGGCGGGGGGGGGGCTCCAGGAAGGGGCGGGGGGCTTCAGAAGCCTTCCTCGGCTCACCCACTTGGGTGAGCGAGCCGAGGAAGGCACGGGAAGGAATTTAACTGCCTCCCTGCTCTCTCCCTGGCCCTTCCTGGCTCACCCACCAAGGCAGGTGAGCCAGGAGGGGGGGGGGGCTCCAGAATCCTTCCGTTGTATTCTATGGTCCCATAGAATATAATGGAAGTGGTGGCGTGACTCCAGAGAGAAGGGGTTTAAACTTTAAACCCCTTCTCTCTTCGCTTCCCCCCCCCAGCCCGCCTTGGCAGGCCGGCTGGGGAAGGAGAGCCTTTTGAAGATGCCTCCCCCTTTTTGCTTCCCCTTCTGACATCACTTCCGGTGATGTCAGGGGGCGTGGCATATGCTAATGAGCTATTATGCTAGTAGCCTATTAGATAAGCTAATGACCTTCTGCAGCCTTTTTTCCTAGGAAATGACCCCTGACTAGAGTAAAGATGTGAACTTGCTGTTAGTTTCAAATACTGGACTGTATTAAAATCTTTGTTAAAATCTTACCACTTTGGAAATTAGTATGTCACTTTAATTCTGAGTGACATATCAGTTTAATTCTGTATTTCCTCACAAGAAACAGAAATCTTATTTTTTTAAAAGTAGAGTAGCTGCTTAAATTACACTTGCTGCTGAAGTGTGAATGCCAATGTCTTAACAGGCCAGAATGAATTTAAGATTTCAAGTGCTGTTAAACCCCATGTTAATGAAATGCCATATACAATTGATAAAGACTGTCTCAACAACCTTTCTCTTGCATTGTTGGCATAGCACAGGGCTTGAAATACAAAGGGTTGGATCCAATCAGTTTTTCCCTGGTGAAAAAGAGGAGAAAGTCCCTTTTGACCATCAAAAATGCTATGTTTAGGATCATGAGAGCTGTATGGATAAAAGCCATGTGGAATGAGGGCTGTAATAAGGTTGGGAAAGACTGAGCAAGAAAGCTGGACTAATCCAATCCAAAGCTTAATTATCATTTTGTATTAAAACTTTTTGTCATATGACAAAAATAAATGTGCATGAATTTCCTGTCATTGCTTATCTATATGTATATTCAGTGGTGGAGGATGAATTCATTATTTAACCAGTTGCTTTCTTTACTGGCTTCAGTATTCAATTAAGTGGAGTTTTTTCAAGCAATAATGTAATTATGAGAAATTGGGGAGACATTAAGATATAGGTTTATTTTTGTTGTGGTGATAACAACCAGGGTTACCTTTATATTAATATATTTTGTCATAGCTTTAATAACATTATACAAAATTGCAAAGATATTAGAATCAGGTTTTGTGATAGCAAAGTTAGAAAAATCCTGAATGCTAAAAAATCAGCCTGGCTCCTAAATTTTAGAGCTGGCTCCCAGAGACAAAGACAATCTGTCAAGGCCTGATATAGCATGCCATTTTTTAAAAAGAACTAGGCTAGTAGGGAAATCTCTGTGTAATGAGACAGAAAATCCACATGCCCAAAGAGCTTTTGGCACAACTGATAACTGCATCATTTTGCAGAACAGCTACATGCATGCAGCAGCAGGACTCGAACAGTTTAGCTTGGCATGTGATGATGTGGGCTCCTTTTAATGCAGCATGTACACAAACATAGTGATTTTTTTCTCATGCATTTTGCTTTTAATAAACTTCTAGTTTATTTGATTTTTTGTATATTTAAAGGTAAAGGTTCCCTTGTTCGAAAGCCAGTCAAATCCGACTCTAGGGTCACGGTGCTCATCTCCGTTTCAAAGCCGAAGAGCCAGCACTGTCCGAAGACGTTTCCGTGGTCATGTGGCCGGCATGACTAAACACCAAGGCACACGGAACGCTGTTACCTTCCCCCCAAAGTGGTACCTATTTATCTACTTGCAATTTCTTGCTTTCGAACTGCTAGGTTGGCATTTATTTATTTATTTTTATTTTATTTATTATTTATTATATATTTAGCTTGCTCTAATAAACTAGTTTATTTGAATGTAACACGGAAAGAAAAGGAGCTTCATTTCCTCAGACCACGCGCTGAAGTTTTTGTACTGAGAAATAAGCATGTTTGTTCAAGAACAGGCTGTAACAAGAGAGGAGCAGAAAAATGTGATCCTGAGAGGGAAGGGATGAGTCCACGCATGCAGCTCTGCAACGGGTGGAGGGATAATATGCATTAAAGCTGAACAGCGAAGAATGGGCCTGGTTGTTAATCCCTCTTTCCAGAGTGATTCGAATGAAGCACCTCAAATCTTCTTTTCACAGGTTAAAAAAAAAAAGAGAGATACCTTTGTGCTTAACATACTGAATAAAGGGAACAGGAAATAATGTGTACCAAGGGACCGGGAAAGAGCAGTCACTGTTCAGAAGGATGGGTGTGACAGCCAACCACAATCTAAAACCCGAATTACAATACGGGAATAATGATGCTGTCCTACTTTACAGTTATAGCCAATATTATGTATATGGACATGCTTTAAATATTGGGAAAGCAGCACCATACATATTATCATCATTTGGATAGGCACTCAAAAATAATGCTGCAACCCGATTCACTTGCCAGGGACTTCCTACACAGTCAACATGCAAAGAAAGGATCAGGCAGCAAAGGAAAAGAACGGGGTGGATGTGGGAAGGATGGCTGCACACACGGAGCAGTACTGGAGAAACCAGTTTAAAAAAATATGAGTACATGGAAGGGAAGCCAGTAGAGAGGTGCATAAGGAGAGGAGGCGAATGCATTGTGCTAAAGAGCGACCGAGGGCAATCAAATGAAGGAGGAGGGCAGCTTTAGTCGGTTGCTGACAGCCACTCACCGCCCAGGAAGGCGCCCAAGAAGAAGCATTTCTTTTTGTGGCGCTTCAAGAAGCTCCACACGGCCAACACCATCTCGATAGCGTCAATCCAGGCCGGACCCGGCTCCCTTCGCTCTTCGCAGGCGTACAGCCGCTGCAAGCTGAAGCCCCTCCTCCTCCTCGCCTCAGACGCTGATCACGCAAGCCGGCCGAGAGGCGATGGGAGTCCCACCTGTTTCAGGGTTCCCCGACTTGCCGCGGTTCTTCCTCCATCTGGATCCTCCGGAAGCTTCAGCTGTGCATCCTTTGTTCCAGCTTATCAGGCTTAGCGCGTCTCGCTCTGGAAATGGAGGCAGCGGCGGCGGCGGGCGAGAGGGTGGTGTTCGCGGAAGAGACGGAGGCCTGGATGGATCGAGCCATAGACATGGTGAGTGCATATGGGGATCAATAGGAGGGACGGATGCCGAGGACTACAGGCGAGCTGTCCTAGTGGAGAGCATAGAATTCCACTGAGACAACTTTTCTCATCGCAGCATATAAACCGGGGTCTGCCAACAATTCCCCCTTTTGCAAACTAAGCAAGGCGACTTAACTGCACTCTTTGGTATTTTAATATATTAGGGTGCGAGACTATCCAGGACTGGAGTATGTCTCCTACAGTTCTCCATAATTAGCCCGGGGGCGGTTGTGTGCTAATTGCCACCAACATGGCAGGGGCGCGTTTAGGGAGGGAGACGGAAAGGCAGTGTATGGGAGGATGGTGGCAGACGAAAGGGGCTACTGCTTTATAAGGGATCCGAAGTTCAGGCTACGAGCTTATTACCATTGTTCAGCTTTTTTATATTAAAAAATTAAATGCTTTTTTTGTTTCATTGCTCATGGATATGGGATTGTTTGCGCGCGTGTGTGTATGTAGGGTAGTGGTGGGACCGGTTTGCACGGGTCCGGAAATGATGCTTGGGCTTGTGAGACAATTCCCTCCGTGTTGCAGACCACATATGTATATTTCTCAGAAATACTGCAATCTCTGCTTATTAAGATATTTTTACAATAAGATTTTTTAAAGAGAGGTTATTAATTTTAGCACAATGCATTATTTTATTGCCAGATATGGTGCTTTTTGGGGGAGGGATGCATATTTTCTTTTTCTTTTTAATAATTTTTTATTGCTTTTATATGCTACATCCTAAGGGGGAAGGGGCAAAGGAAGCTCTAAAACTAATACAGAAACTAAATTAAGACAAGGATCATATTTCAGAAATTACATTCTTATATATCAGACCTACAATAACAAAGGTACTATGTCAAGGTAAAAGGAGCTGCGGTGGCTCAAGTGGTTAAGACGCTGAACTGCAGGCTGTCGAAGGTCAGTAGTTCAGCAGTTCGAGATCTGAGTTGCCACATGACGGAGTGAGCTCCCGTCTCTAGTTCCAGCTCCTGCCAACCTAGCAGTTCGAAAGCAAGACATTGCAAGTAGATAAATAGGTACCACTTTGGTGGGAAGGTAACAGCGTTCTGTGCGCCTTGGTGTTTAGTCATGTCGGCCACATGACTATGGAAACGTCTTCGGACAGCGCTGGCTCTTCGGCTTTGAAACGGAGATGAGCACCGCAACCCTAGAGTCGGACTCGACTGTCTTTCGAGCAAGGGAACCTTTACCTTTACTTTATGTCAAGGTATTGATTTCTAGATAAAGCTGGACTGTAAATCTGGTCAGGATGGCACTGTAACTTAGCCTAAAATGAGCTGAATGCCTCATTGCAGTATGGACATTATACTACTGGCATGATCCTTCAGTGACTTTATACCACAGGCATGACTCTGGGATTCAGGAGATGATAGAGGTTGGAGGATATTTTTTCTATGGTTGTTGGCCATAGTTTCCTGATTTTCAATTCCTTACTCAAAATGGGTTTAGAAGCAGACTGAAGATGAAACTGCTCCCCTAATAACCTTTGGACCATTCCACATTATAGGAACACTGCCCGTTACAAGAAATTCATCTTGCCCGAAGCTTTGTTTTCATGTTCCTTGACCCAACACATGTGAGGAAAGAACTGAAATCACTATGTTCTGAAATCCTCTTTGGATCCACCATAAATCATATACCTTGAACTCTGGGAGACAGTCTCCTATGGAATGCTCTAGCATTGTGTCTGGTTCAGAGATTGTGGTTTATTGAGGTCCAATTTTTATTTTATTTATGTTGTGTTTTAACACTGAGACTCAAGGCAGGTTACAGGGTATAAAACAGTGCGGTCAGCTAGCATAAGACAACCAATAAACATTGTAATAGGACTGGGTTACAGAATTAGAGAACTATGCAAACAAGCTGTCAACAAGGAATACTATAAAGAATATGAAGAGTGAATCGCAAGATATAAGACAATGCAGTAAAAGCAAGATGATACCTATAATAATCATTGTCATAGACCACAATCCTATACTATTATAAAGGTGCTCTTCTGGACTGTTTCATTCTACTACAGTTCTAATCTTATTGTTTGTTTGTTTTTAAAAAAGCCCTATTGAACATCACTATTTTGCACGTTCTACAAAATGACAGATGTGTGGGAGCCTTCCTGGCCTCCTCAGGAAAGGCCATTCCACAAGGTGGGAGCCACTGGTTCTCCCATTCACAGGATGGTTCCTTTAGAAAGCCTTTCTCAGGTAAGCAATGCTGGCAGACCAGAGTTGAGTGGGAGAGGCAGCCTTGCCGATACATGATATCATGAAATAAAGTGTTTTCATTTCAGTTAAGCCATTGTGTCTGTATGTTCCTTATGGGTTCAGAGTGGCCTGCTACAGCAAACACGACCCCAACTAACTTTTCTTCCTTTGAACCAGAAATCCTGATCTGTGGGATACATCCTTGAGAGTTTCTCTGTTCTCCTCCCTGAAAGGAGTGGACATGTTTGAAACTCTGAGGCATGTGTTGTGTTCTGCAAGGTTCTGAGCAGGTATAAGACAAGATAGAGAAGCAGGTGAATCCTCAAATAGCTAAAGAAAGCCACAGGTAGTTCACTGTGCTTTAACACTGGCATACTAAACACCCATATGTTGTTAGCAAATTGTTAGACTCCTCCACCCCACCCCCCTTTTTTCAAAATTCCTTTAAAGAATACTTAAGGCTCATAGATTACCCTCCTGGGCTACAGAGACAGAGCTTGCCTATTAACCAATGCTAGGTTTGTTCAAGCCATGCAATTGGTGCCGAGAATGTTGATAGGTGTACTGACTTGCCTTATCTTGTCAAAATATACCAACCTAAAGCTTCTCAGAGGTTGCTGCAATGCTCTGGGATAGGCTGCTAGTGGAGGTGAGATATTCTTTTTTGGGACTGTGTAACATAGGCTGCGATCATATGCACAATTAGACCCGCCATAGGCGTGAATGCTGGGTGGATTTAAAGGGACTCTCCTCCTTCCCAACATCTGGGAAGTGCCCTGCAGTCATTGGCAACCCGTTCTGCTCCGCCACAGAAGCGGAGTTAAAAGATACCGGGGAAAATCCGGTAGTTAACAGGTTGCGACGGGCCACAGACGGACTTTCCTGTGTCTGATCACTCCAGCACGCTCTCATTGCGTTGGGATGGTCTGATCAGCCATCCCAACTCCGTGCCGTTGTTTTCCCCCCCTTCTCAGTATGTGCATCATTGTAATCTCCATAGGGAGCCCTCAGTGCAGAGATGTCATTCATTGATTCCTCGTTTAAGTGCATCGGAAACAAACGGCACCCCCCCCCAAGTTGCATCTGATCACACAGTGGCGGGCTGTGCCCACAGCTTCCAAGGACTGTGTGATCGCGCAACTGCAGGTCAAATTCCTCCAGAGGAAATAGCCTTGCTTCCCCTCCGCTTCATCTGCTGCATGTGACTGCAACCATAGTACTCGTTAAAAGGGCTTTTTGTTGATTTTATTGTCGATACATGATATGTGGACCTAGACTGAAGCTGTTGTTTTACTGATTATGGGATAATATTTTGGGTGTTTTTATCTTTTTTAATATTGGTATGCTTGCCGTATGCCATTGTAAGCTGCTTTGGACTGCCTATAAACTTCTTAACATTTACTGTCTTAGAGGTTAAGACGCGGTGGCTTAGAGGTTAAGATGCTGAGCTTCAGACCAGAAGGACTTCTTAACATTTACTGTCTCTTAGAGGTTAAGACGCGGTGGCTTAGAGGTTAAGATGCTGAGCTTCAGACCAGAAGGTCTGTAGTGTAGGGCAAGGGACCAGTGAATGTGATTTATGATAATGATTTCTGATATTTCTCTTGACATGTATAATGCCAGCTGTCACTGTGTTTTATTAATATTTTAATTTTGGTATTTAGCCCAAGCAGAAGAGATTTAGAATAGAAGTAATTTGAGTATTTTTAATTGTCAAAGGTTCTTTTAGATAGATTCAGAAAATAGTGGAATGGAATGTATGTTTTGAAATTACAAGTTCCTCAGCTGAAGGACACTTGAGAAGAGAAATTAGTGCTCTCAAAACAAATAACTTTCGGTGTAGAATAGAGCATCTGGCCCCATTAAGAGCTACGTTTCATGTGCCTTATCAGAAAACTCCCAGATTGTTGTGGAATATCTTCAGCTGCCTCTAGCACTGTCACCCCAGTTTTGGTTCTCAGGGGAGGGGAGAGTTCTTGTAGGGTGGCTGAGGTGATGGAGCAGGAGGCAAATGGGTGAGTGAGAAGGAGCTTCCTTGTCCACCCCCACCTACCCCCAGAACTGTTGCTGCAGTCTTTGGCACTCTGCAGCTGAGGAGAGACTTCGGGAGGGTGACTGAGGCAATGGTGCAGGCAGGTGAGTGAGGAGCCTCCTTGCCCCACCGATCTGTCTCCAGCACTGTTGCCTCATATGCACTCCCCAGCTCTCACTTTGGCTACTGAGTGTGGAGACTGATGGCATTGCAGGCAGGTGGGTGGCAAGGAGGCTCCTTCTCACCAGCTACCCACCTGCAGCGCTACTGCTTCCCTGTGTGTGGGAGGCTCCCAGTCTTCTATCCCTCCCCCACTACAGCAGTGATATGTTTCACAGTTTTTAGCTCCTCCCCAGGCCCAGCTCGTCATAGCCAAAATTTAGACCGTGGCCTAGGGCACTGGCTTGACGAGGGTTCCAGTGGTGCCACTCTGGCCTGCCGCCCCACCAGTCTGCGCCCCACTGGCCTTACCTGGCTTTACCCTGACATGCTCGATGGATCCCGGGACTCGCCACCGCCTCCCCCCTGCACTCCTTGGCCAGTTTTGCCTCTTGCGTCCCTCCCCGGAAGGAGCCGGACAGCAGTATAGATGGAACACAAGAAATTATCAATATAGACATTATTTAAGTGCTTTTTTTCATCAGGACATTCACCTTCTGGGGTGTTTGTCTGAGGTGTGTTAATTTCAGTTTTTGTCTGCCACATGGTCTTGAAGATACTATTTAATTACTTTTGTATTACATTTTTATCTTGTCTTTTCCTCCAGAGGTGCCAGGGTGGTATACACACAAGAGAAGAGGATGTTGTACTTGCTCAGTGACACTTAGTTTTTTTCTTTCCATCCTGTCCTTTCCAGAAGAATGAATCGGGCTGTTTCCTTTTGCATTCCCTCTGATTTATTGCAAATACCTTCTTTCATTTAAGCAGCTTTCCTACTGTAGCTAAGGGATTTAGAGTGGGTTATGTTGTATCCTTATTTCATTTCATCCTAATCTCTCAGGTGTGCTTGGCAGAAGGATGTCGATTTTGCGAGGGCTGTGCAGTGAGATACATAGCTAAGGGGGGGGGATTTGAGTATGGATCTCCTGCACTGATCCAAAAACTGTTTGCTACACACCAAGCTGGTTATCTTTGCTTTGTTATCTTTTATCTGGGTTTGACCCTGTCACCTCCCCTTTACTTCCCAAGCAATCTACTGCATTTTCCATCCTGATATGTGTTTTTATTTATGTAGCACCATCAATCTGCATCGTGGTTTACAAAGTACAAGGAGAAAGCTCCTTGTCCTGAGGAACTTTGAGGCTAAAATTTAACATGTGGAAAGAAACAGGGATAATTAAAATAATAATATGCATTCATTCAATTTGTACATGCTTAGGCTTCATTGCAGTAGGGGAGGGGGACTAATGGTTTGTGTCAAAAGCCTCAGAGGAAAGGTGGATTTTGAGGAGGGACTTGAACAAAGGGAGAGAGGGGGTATCACATGGGTGTTATGGGAGGCGGTGGAAACTGTAGTTCTAACTTGTAAACTCTCTTTTCTTGTCAACACTTGTGGCTTTCCTAGATGATGGACTATGTATCTCCTATATTGGCAAGGGCCTTAGTTCTTCGTAGATACTACTAAAATAATGTAATAAATCAGCTGGGCTTTCTCATCTAAAAAGAAAAAGCTAACAGGAAGTTAATCATAAAAACATTCTTACAAGGGAACGTGTGTATCTGGTCACAATGAAGACCAAGTACAGTCTGTACTACTGTGATCAGATAAATTAGTTGTTCTGTTAAGTCAGAGATGCATCTCCAGATAGAGAAATGTAAGCAAACAGCGAATCCGTCTTGGCTGCATAGATTACTGTAAAGTCTGACACTGCAGCCCTAGATTCAAATATTAAGTTGTTTTGAAAGCCTGTTGTGGTTGAGCCACATGAAATGTAATGGAACACCATAATTCCTCCACTTAGTCTTAAGTGCAGCCAATTGATCTGTCAATGACAAATAGATTCCTCTGAAACCGCAAATCAAATTTCTCACAAAAAATAAATAAAAATCCAGCACTTATATTAGAGCAGAGCGGGGTGTGTGTGTGTGTGTGAACTACATGGGCCCTGCCCAACATCTCTAAGCTTTAGGGAGTTGAGTCTGCTGCGTTGTGGTCGTGGAGGGCCCTGATTTTGTGAGGGGTATGCCACAAGCCTAATGTTGAAAGAATAGAAAATGCATCCTTGTTAGGTTTTGTTACCCATCTTCCCTTAGGCTAGGGATTCTGTTTTCTGACAGACAGCTGCATATGGTCAGCTATTGTACTGGACAAAATATCTTTTGTTTTTGAAATCCTTGCTCTGTGCTAGCATTCGGAGTGGGAAGGGGTAGGTAACCGCAAATGTACTTTGCAGTATTTCTGCATGCACTGACAAACTGTTCTGGCATTGTCCTTTCCAACTCTTTCTCTGATAGGCTAAGGAAGCACTGGGAAATGGTGAGGTGCCCGTTGGCTGTCTCATGGTCTACAATAACGAGATCATAGGGAAAGGAAAGAATGAAGTGAATGAAACTAAAAATGTAAGTCCCCCAGCTTTCCTTTTTCATCAGGCATTTGGCATGGGAAAGATGTGGCGCTGATTTCTGGATAATTCCGAATTTTGATGATTTTACATCTTGTGTTTTGTTGTGTTTTTTACTGTTGAATTTTTAAAAACTTGGTAACAACCTAAAGTATTTCCAGATTTAAAGTGTGTGTGATATACAAAGCACATGTATTATACTGTGAAAATTGGCCTTTTAGATATGCATGATTCATTCACAATTTGTCATGAGAGGGGCATGTGTGTAATGTATGTGTTTAACTTGAGTATCCGTTCCTGAGTACAAAATGTCAAGAGCTGGGCCTGAATTGGAGTGTGTGTTAAAGAGTAGTCTTGCAGGCATGTCTTAATCTGTTGGTGAGGACTCTTCAGGACAGTGCAACTGATATCTCTCAGAGCTCTTCCTTCTGAATTGCCTGAGGTGAATAGGAATTGCCAGAGTTTGTTTTTCTTGTGGCAGCTTCCTTGCCTGTTCTTCTTTTTCCTCTAGACAAACTTATGTTCAGTTTAGAGAAAAAATTATTTTCAATCGTAACAGTTTTCTCGTCTTTTCAGCTTTGCTTGCAAAAGTACCTGCCAATCAACTTTTTACCCATGAAGTAGTTTTACTAATAAAATATACTTTAGGACCCTACTGCAGTATATATGTATGTATTGATTCATAGCAATTATCTCTGAACATGTCACAGTAAAATATATAACTAATCTGCGCTATTTATGTTTCTCACAGAATCTTTTCCTGGCAGCCCCTGAGTGCATTCTCTGTGGCCATTATGATACTCTAGATTTAGACTGAGTAAAGGATTAAGCATCTTTCCCAGTCAGAGATTTCTCAGTTTGTATCTTACAGTCTCATTTTACAGTTTAAGGATATCTGAAAACTTGATTCTTTAAACAGGTATTGATACAGTAGAAGCTACTTCCATATTCTGCCTTGTGTCCCTTGTTTTCTTGGACCAGGCCAGCATTATATTTCCCAACACATTTTGTACTCCTTGTTATAGTTCTAGGGTGTATTTACTCATTTGTACCCTGTGAGGCCACTAAAACTTGTCTGGAGAAGCTTAAGAATCCAGTGTTTGCTGCAAATTAATTCATAAGGATGGGTTTTGTGTATATGTGTGCTACAAGGATATTGCAAAGAAGTCTTCTCCAGGGCAAACCACTGGTCATGACTGGATTATAAAGGACATGAACACAAATTAGAAGGGTTTTTTGGAAATGTGTGGGTATGATGCCAACTTTGAGAAAAAGTGGATGGCGAGCATTTATTGGAGATTCATGGTTTTTGATAAGCATTTTTAATGGGCCATTAAAAATTTTAAATGTATGAGCAAAGCTATATAATAATGTTAATTGATAGTTGATTGTACCACATATCAATAATTCTGTTAACAATTTTATGCGGGTCTCTATATAGAGTTGCACATTTTAACCTTTCAGATCATTAGCATTTGGTTTTTGATTTTTGTCTCACAACCACTGGAAAATAAGCAAAGTTCTGTGAAACATGCAGGCTTCATTGTACATAAAATGGCTTTAAAATGTAGCCAAATAAACTGAACTTATCAAAATACATTACCCATTTTGTAACTTAAATGACTTATTAAAAACAGAGGTTATCAGCTGGTAGAAGGGAAAAATACTGACAGTTCAGCCCTGCAACATTTTCAGAGCTTCATAATTGGAAGTGACTGGAAATTTAATCAGTGAACCTCCCTGAAGCTGAAGTGAGATGGTCCTCTATGCTATCCTTTGAGCTATTCTGACTAGTAGATCTCATTTCTTCCCTCATGTTTATTCATAAGCTGATAAAAAAAGCAAGAAAGTTGATATCTGACAGGGCAGAAAAAGCTTTTTCCCTGTAGCTGAGCATTACTTCTCCAAATAGCCACTGCTGGCGTACCCTCTTTGTCCTTGCACCAAAAGAGAATATGTGCAATGCCTGTAATTGTTGTGCCCTGGGGTGGCTTTAAAAATGGAAAAACCAATTCATTTAACACAGGCCACTATAGGCCTATCTTGAGGGTGTGGTAGATGTTAATGAATAACCGTTTAATAAAACATTATGATTTTAAGTTTCGCTGAGGAAGTGTTACTATTGTCAAAGAAAATTCCTATAAATATTGTAGTGTCCTTTTATATGCTTTTGGCTGTTAATTTCCCTGCACTGATGCCAAAAGTTAATTCACTCACAAAGGGTGGCATGTCCCAGTGACAGAATATGCCTTTCACTGAGAGAACTTCCCTTAGCTGAGTGGTAGGATAACATCCATTGTTATCAGTTATCATGAACCTTCTCCTTGACACATTGTCACTTGTGAACATCAGTAATAAACCTAAAATGTTGGATCCTACCAGCTTTCCACAGCAGGAAGAGAACTATTCCTCACTTTTCCTTGCTTCAGTAGCCCATTTTGATCTCAGCAAAGGCTATGGCATAGAGTGAAAAAAAAATCTATTGGAGTCAGCAGTGCTAAATATCATACACTGGAACTGCTGTATGTTTTGTTTTTCCTCTAAATCTAGGGGTGGGTTCAGTGGTATGATCCACATTCGAGTGAATGCTAATGGGTTGCAGACATGTGGCATGATCTCAACTAGTTCATTTAGTTCTTTAGCAGACTGCCAGGGAGTGATGTGCTATACCCCTTGCCACTTATCACAGGGGTCACTTGAATAGTAGTGGGGGCAAATTCGCTCCACAGTGGCATCGCCACTTCTGATATTTGTCTTAATTGAAGTGCTATCTGTAGTACTTCAGCATAACTTATTGACAGATCAGATGACAGACTACAGATATGGAATCATGGAAGCCACAAAGCATGTTGCCTTCTGAAAGGAGAGCTGATTTTTCTGTTGGGAGTTTGCTGTTTCATTCATACCAATACCATCAGCATTAGATATAAATACCTGTTTTTTCTGTATCCTCACAGGCTACTCGCCATGCAGAAATGGTGGCAATTGATGAGGTGATAGACTGGTGTCATCAGCACAAGAAGGACCCCGAGGAAGTATTTCGGCATACAGTGTTATATGTCACTGTAGAGCCCTGTATAATGTGCGCAGCTGCCCTGCGCATGATGAGTATCCTTTACTACAGGATGTATTGGCATGTAACTTTCAACCTATAAATTGCTTGACTAGCAAGGTAGTGGAGGTCATCTTTTTTTTGTTTACAATTTATTAAGGTTTTTTTTAAAGATAAATGAAGCGAGGTCATCTTTTACTTTCAACCTATGAATTGCTTGACTAGCAAGGTAGTGGGAGGTCATCTTTTTTTTTCTTCAATTAAGTTTTTTATTTAAAGATAAATGAAGCGAGGTCATCTTTTTGTTGATGATGTTTACGTGTGAATTTGTCTGTGCAGAAACTGTGGGCACAACGTTTTGTTTAAAAAGGCTTGGTATGGGCAAGGTCAGGCGAGGAATGGATTCTCGTCAGGGCCACTGTTTGGATGAGGTGGTCTGCCTAAAGCAAAGGCTATCCTTACATATGGAAGTCTAGATGCAGTGTAGATGCAACTGAATTATGGTGACCCCAGCAAGGGGCTTTCAAGGCAAGTGGGAAGCAAGTGGGCAGCTTGCCATTGCTGTCCTCTGCAGAGCCTTCATCGGTGGTCTCCCTCCTGACTCTATTTAGCTTCTGAGATCTGAGGAGATTGGGCTATACCATGCTGCCCTCACAGCGGTTATCATTAAAGGGTAGGAAAGGGTTATATAGTTCCTTGTATTTTTACTACTGCTGTTTGGATTGTGTGCCTCAGGTACCAAATAGCCAGGGATGTTGCTGGCTTTAGAATTAGACATTTGGAAAAGATGGAGTTGCCCTGAAAGAGGACCTTGAGTCAGAACCAAAGAAGTAGGAGTTGATGAGAGAAGGAGTCTTCTTATTACATTGGGATAATCATATAACACTTTCTTGTTGTAGTCTAGGAATTCCTTAACTTATTTATATAAATTCCCCTTGTTGTATATGGCTGCCAAAATGAACGGTTTGGAGGTTGTGGCTCTGTTTTGAACATCTCTTCTGCTACCTTAACAGACACAGGAGAACCATTTCAGGTGAAATACTTTGTCACTGTGTTTTAGGATTTGGAGTTGGCAGTCTATTTACACAAAAATATTTGACAAGAGTGTTTTGTCTAATACAGAATCTCCTGTGTTACTCTGCTCTTTCGCAGTGGGACAAGGTATAATCTTTCAAAAGGTGTGAAGTGAAGGAATGTAAATGGGGTATCACAGTTGGTCCTGTGAATGGTCTGGGAGTATTTAATCCCATAGCATTGGTGAAACAAAGTGGTTACAAATTGGTTGATTGATCAGGAGTTGAGAGAAGGAGTGTTCTTATTACATTGGGATAATCATATAGCACTTTCTTGTTGTAGTCTAGGAGTTCCTTAACTTATTTATATAAATTCCCCTTGTTGTATATGGCTGCCAAAATGAACGGTTTGGAGGTTGTGGCTCTGTTTTGAACATCTCTTCTGCTACCTTAACAGACACAGGAGAACCATTTCAGGTGAAATACTTTGTCACTGTGTTTTAGGATTTGGAGTTGGCAGTCTATTTACACAAAAATATTTGACAAGAGTGTTTTGTCTAATACAGAATCTCCTGTGTTACTCTGCTCTTTCGCAGTGGGACAAGGTATAATCTTTCAAAAGGTGTGAAGTGAAGGAATGTAAATGGGGTATCACAGTTGGTCCTGTGAATGGTCTGGGAGTACTTAATCCCATAGCATTGGTGAAACAAAGTGGCTACAAATTGGTTGATTGATTAATTGAAGATCACTATGCATTACACAAAATTTTAGTAGGGAGAGATGGCATCTAAGCATATTTAATACAGGATATCGATGGAGGAAAAGCAAAGTAGCTGAAAGCAAAGTTTTGAGCCTGAGTTACTGTGTCATACGGTGAGGCAACAGCGTTACAGTGCCAAGGAAAGGGGATAATCCACTTTTAGGATTGGCACTGTCATTTGTAGGATCCTAGGATAAGAGGAGAAGCAAATAAAATATATTGTTGTGTTTTAAACAGGGCTTTTTTTGTAGAAAAAGCCCAGCAGGAACTCATTAGCATAATAAGCCACACCCAACAGCAGAAACTTATTAGCACATTAGGCTACACCCCATGCCTTCTCTTGGCTTGCCCAGGTGCTGCAGGGAGCCCAGGCAAACCATCCCTTGGACAGGCTGGGGAAGGCACGGGGAGGCTTCCCTGGCCCGTCTGCTTTGGTTGCCGGGGGGTCAGTCTCCAGGCCTTCCCTCTGTAGCCATGCACGCAGAGGTTTTGGCTGTAGTGGGTGTGGCCAACTCTGAAGCTTGCCGGAACTCTGTTCCTGTTCATTCCTGCCCAAAAATAGCCCTGGTTTTAAATTAAATTTGTCTTGATATTCAATCTGGGAATAACACTTTAGATGTACATTGTAGGAACTTGCGGAAGAGGGAAAGGTTTTATTTAAGAAATTGGATTGCTGTTTGCAAGCAATTGCAGCATACTACAGTGTAGAAAGCATCCCCTTATGTAGGTGTATGCTTTTAGATTTGTGAATTCACTGGAAGCATACTACTTTGGTATATTTTTTATCTGTCACTCTCATTCACACATTTCAAGGAATAAACAATACGGCAGAATAACTTGTGGGTGGAATAAGTTGCAACATTATTTTGATGGGCCAAGGAAGATTTGGCAGGTAGGGGAAAAACATTATCAGAAAGATGAGTTCCTTGGCAGAAACACTTAGATAACACTTGTGAAGACAATGTTCTGATCCTAGTGGTCTGGTTTTCACACTCCACAGAGGAAGTAACCGATGTGTAGACCTTATAACTTTAAACTGCAGGTAGAAAGATACCCTTGTAATTGTCCATGCTTTGAAGAAGTATAGTGAATTTGAAAGCCTTTACTGATGAAAAATCAGTGCTTCAGATGAGGTGGAGACCCCTTCTTATTATACCTTTTTGTCAAGTGAGCTGCTGTAGCAGGTCTCCTTCCTTGTCACACAGATAATATGAGAAGCTTTAGGTAATGGAGGGGGGGGGGAGTGCATGACTAGCCCTTGCCTGTAATGCCAGTTATCAAAGCATGGGCTATTCTCTCTAGCATGGGCTCCTCATGCATGGCATAGGATTTATATAACCTGGTAATATGGGAAAGGGCCATACAGCTCTTGATTTGGCAAAGGCCATGAATAAATTGCATCTGAAGCTAGAAAATGTCTATGCAAATATTCTTGTGTATGCAAATTTGGTGCCCCTTCATGTTAACTACTGTAAAAGGGCATCCCCCCCCCCAAGGTGCCTCAAAGCTAAATGATAGAGGAATGTTCAGCAGATGAGAATTTTTCTAGATGTATAGCACTGTGGTAGTAAAAGCCACATCTTTATGGGATCCATATAGTAAAGACATGCAAATTCTCTTTGGGTCAGGAAGTAGTAAATTCTAACACCAAAGTGGGATTTATATGGGAAAGAGCCATACAGCTCTTGATTTGGCAAAGGCCATGAATAAATTGCATCTGAAGCTAGAAAATGTCTATGCAAATATTCTTGTGTATGCAAATTTGGTGCCCCTTCATGTTAACTACTGTAAAAGGGCATCCCCCCCCCCAAGGTGCCTCAAAGCTAAATGATAGAGGAATGTTCAGCAGATGAGAATTTTTCTAGATGTATAGCACTGTGGTAGTAAAAGCCACATCTTTATGGGATCCATATAGTAAAGACATGCAAATTCTCTTTGGGTCAGGAAGTAGTAAATTCTAACACCAAAGTGGGATTTGGGATGCCTTTAATAAAATACAAAATCTTCTGGTCTATAGTGCATACCTGGTTATCGATCAGAAGAAGCTGTGGAAATGTTGAAAACATTCTACAGACAAGAAAACCCAAATGGTAAGTCCCATTCTTATTCTAATTAATTTTTTGTTGATTGTACATCTTTTGAGGATTAATGGATCCTTTTTCTTTTTTTTTTGGCAGCACCAAAATCAAAAGTTCGAAAAAAGGAGTGCGTTATATGATTAGCTGTGATGGAAGCTAAACTGGCACAAATCACCCAAAGGCTTCTGTGATGCTTTCCTTCCCTTGGCTTGTTAAGCGCTAAGATGTAGAGAAAGTCATTTCGGTTCCTCTGTAGGATTTTATAATGTTTCTTTTAAAAGCGTCAATGATATCAAATGATCGAAAAAGAAAACGTAAAATGTTTGACCTTTTCTTAGTGAAAAAAGTGAGACGGGAAAGAGCACCTTCCACATAGAGTCGTTCAGAACGTTCAGAATCTTATTTTAATCCATACCAATTCTGAACTATATTAAGTGTGACTTCCTTGGCATCCTTTGGTATGAGAGGTGTAGCTTGCCCTGAACCAGAGCTCTGATGACAGTTATGTTTGGACCAGTAGCGTACACAATAGTCTGCATACTTTGATTTCTGGCAGGCCACTGGGAGCCCTTGGGTTTTCAGTAGCATGCTAAAATCTGTTGCTCTCCAAGGTCTCTGTGGTCAGTCATCCTGAACCTCAGGACTGCCTCTGTGTACAGCACTGCCCCCTGGGAGTGGCTGCCTCAAATCCTCTCATAAGAACTTGTCCTGTAAGGTCTTGCTTAGCATATTTTTACCCTACCCACTTTCTTCAGGATAGGTGTTGCTGATGTGATGGTCATGCTGAGGGGATAGAAAAATAATCTCATACACCCAAAAAACCTACCTATTAATGCCTGGCATTTCTAATATTTTACTGAATGAAGAATAGTATGTCTATAGGAGGTTACAAATGGGACACTTATCCATAAATGCTCTGACTCTAACCAGAGCTACAAAACTGTATAACATTTATGGTGGGTTGGATCCATCAGAAAATTTCTGCTAAGCGAATGGGAGATGATTTTCACCAGTTCCCTCTTCCCACTGTAATTGGACAATTCCCCCCTCCTCAGTTCCTTCTCCCCCAGGAACAGCATTTCTGGGATCACTTCTGGCTGCAGCAGGAGGGGGAGGTAAGGAAACCCTGATCTGGTGTCACAAATCCCTTTTGTCAACAGAGCCTTTTCTACAGGATCCAAGCCAGTTTCCCAAGCACGTTTGTAACTTGCATTAGTGAATTACAATGTAGCTAGTCATTTTGCCCTTTCTTTAATATGGTTGCTTGGCATAAAGGCAGTTCTTAACACTGACATCCGCTATACTTCTCCTAAATGACCAAAATGGAAACAACTTGCTGTAACGCAGCAGGGCAACAGTGGTAAGGAAAACCAAGGACCAAATTAGAGTTGATACTTGCAGTTTCATTGTGGTGTTCCTCAAATGTAGTATGATTATGGTCCAGAAGAGGGCCCTGCTGTTCCAGTAATGAGCAACTTGGGGAATTCTGAACTGAACTCTTATTCTTCAAGAATGTGCATGCCAAGCAACACCCTCCCCCCCCCCAAAAAAAAAAACCCGGGAAAAAAAAACACCAAAAACACATTCCGGAAATTTTACATCTCTAGTAACTACTGCTCCACTGGCCATTTCCTCCCTGAACTGGAACGTTGTTTCAATATTCCTGTCTTCTACCATGTAGAATGGCCAGACCTGAAGAACTGTAAGTGTGAGTGTGACTCTGAACGCTAAATAATAAAGATGAATATTTCTACCACTTGTTTTGGAACGATGTCACTTTTTAAAGATATAATTTTACCTTGTGCTTTTTAAAAAATTCTTTGCTTAGAATTGCCCTAATGATTTCATAAGAGACGCTGAACAGAGTATGGTTATTGCGCTTTAGACTGTATAAGACTTCTGGCAGCAAACATATCCCTTGTGTGTCTTGCAGAGCACCAAAGATATGATTTATTTGACGAATACATTACTAATAGCAGCACAGGATGGCTTTTCATGTAATTGAAAAAATCATTGTGTTTTCATTTTTGCACTTTTTTAAAAAAATGCTTTTTGTACACTATAATCAGTCAGTGTTGTATGGTAAGAAATATCTAAATGCATATTGGAATTCAGTACAGTTGGTGGTAGAAAGAAATCCCTTTATGGAAGGTAAGAGTGAAATAGTAAAGGTAAAGGTTCCCTTGCTTGAAAGCCAGTCGAATCCGACTCTAGGGTTGCGGTGCTCATCTCCGTTTCAAAGCCGAAGAGCCAGCGTTTCCGTGGTCATGTGGCTGGCATGACTAAACACCAAGGCGCATGGAACGCTGTTACCTTCCCACTGAAGTGGTACCTATTTATCTACTTGCAATTTCTTGCTTTCAAACTGCTAGGTTGGCAGGAGCTGGAACTAGGGATGGGAGCTCACTCCATCATGCAGCACCCGGGTCTTGAACTGCTGAACTACCGAGTGAAATAGGGAGATATAAACACAAATGTTTTGCAGGGCAAGATAGTGCAAGGAGGACCTGAATGGATGATGGCAACTGTGTCCAGGCGACTGGTGTATGGACAACACCCAGTAAAGTTTGGTATTTTGCATACGGGCCTGCCTGTGCCTCTGTTGGGCCCATTCATACCAAGTCCACTGTTCCACTGTCACCCAGCCCCATTGACACCATCTCAGAATGTTGGAATACAAATTGCTTACATTTCAGTCATTATAGAGTTAAATGTTGTTTGCTAGCTTAGCAGGATGTTACCACTGTCTAATGTATTCAACGGAGGAGGGAAAGTTTGTGGGAGTTATTTACCCTAATGTAGTGACCTGTAACCTTTGCATTGGCCAGCTAGCATCTTGTTTGTAGAACTGCTTTTGATCTAGCATTCACGCACTCACAAGTTTTGTGGCCCTTTGTGTGAAGCAAAGAGGAAACACTCACAGAAAGAAAAAAGAGAGATAGAGAAAGGAACTATCTTTAGCAATGTAGCTGATAGGATGTATTAGAGTAGCTGCAAGTATGTAATCTTTATTTTCTTTTATCCAAAGTACCATGCCCATGTTTGTTTGTTTTTCTCTATTAAAGATATTTTCTTTTTACATTTAAGCGTGGTGTTGCTTTTGTGTTTGGAATGCATTCATCGATTTTAAATAAGAATCCCAACACGGAACTTCATCTCCTTGTCCTTCTGCATGTGAGAACTGACTTAAGCTTGATCTTCTTATTAGTCTTGGACAATCCATTCCACAGACTCTTTAAGGAGCCACTTTTTAATAATGGACCATTATAAATAAGGATGGATCATAGGGATATTCCAGCTTGAGAGAGTTTTACAGTTTGTTCATTCATTTTACTTGGAAGTAAATTGGAAGACAGCTTTATGGAGGATAGGTCTGTCAGTGGCAACTAGCCTTGGTGAGTGAGGGAGCTGCCATATTCAGAGGAAGTAAACCTCTGAAGCCTACTACTAGGAGGCTACACTGGGGGAGGGGCTTGGCCTCTGTGCCTTATTTGTGGGTCTCCAGTGCAACTGGTTGGCTACTTCATGACTCATGGTGCTGGACTAGATGAACCACAGGCCTGATCCATCAGGGCTCTTTTTATGTTCTTTAAATCCCATTGAGTTCAACGTCAAATGCTGATAACTACACAACATGCTTAAAATTTACCTCATCTGGGAATTTTCTTTTGTGCAATGTTTCCTGAAGTGAACATCTGCAGGTGATTATATGCAAAGGTCAGTGATTTTTGTAAGCAGTTATCTGATTCACCACTTTAAAGAAGGAATTTGTTGATTGCATCTCTGCAGATATTTTGGACCCATATCACCCAGGTACTATATAGAGCTGATCTGTGGAGTGTGATGAAATCATCTGATCTTGAAGTAACTTTCAAATAAGTTCTCAGTAGGTCTGCCACCTGATTAAAGCTTGTGTGGTTAAATTCTGCATAATGTGCAGAATTAATAAACCTGAAGAATAAAACACCGCAGGCACTATCTTAGAAGAGGTATTCCTTCCTGCGTGAGAGAGAATACCTCTTCTAACAGTGCCTACTATGTACAGTGTAGGTAAGCATTTGCATTATAAGGGGCAGGCATTCCCCCCACAAAAAACCCATTTTGCTGCATGCTTTATTGGAATGGCTTTTTTTTTAACATTGATCAAATCTTGCAGTGCTATCCCCTGTAGCATCTTTTAAGCAATTACTTACCCTAGCACCCCAGTGGCACTTAAAAGGTAACTTAAATGTGTCAGCAGCTATAAGACACACTTGGAACATCCATAACAGGTGCAAATGGAGTGGCCAGACATGTGGATATTATAAAATAGGCAGGCATAGGGCCATAACACAGAATTCAGAAGGTTACATTGTAGGTCTTGATTGTGTGTCTTCTCAGAGCTTTCAGGCTATGCCTTAGAGAAGTCTTGAGGGGAGCCATACTTTAGTATTTGTGTTGTAAGTCATGTACAGTTGAAGATGACCTCCATTGTATAGCCTGTCCTTTTTATGTTGAGTATCAACTTTAGATCAGTGCTTTAGTTGTGAATATCTTCAAAACTGCCAGTTTCTCAAGCGACTTTAGCAGCACACACAGTCAGATGAATTTTTAAAGCAACTTTCCTTTTGTCTCTGAATATTTGATTGCTGTATTTCTCGTTCAGTGTCTGAAAGTTATTCGGAACAATTCTTTTTGTACATGAATGTGAGATATTGACTGTTTTGTTTAAGAGCTTCCACTGTCAAGTTGACATGTTTGACTCATGTAATGCCCTGCCCTTTTGGTCAGTACAATTAAATAAACCACCTGCCTACTCCCAATAACTTAAATCACAGAAATATGAAGCCATGTATCTCAGGGGCTGACTTACCAGTCAGTCATCTTGACATCCAACTCTATTATCTAGCTGGGAGGGCAACAGAGCAAAACTTAAACATCTCTGGGCTAAGTGGTTTGTTGTAATTGACAACCCAAAGATATACTGAATATAACTTGTGACTGGCACAACAAAAGAGGCATGAATTTAAATTACAACTTAAAGGGAATGAAAGGTTTATTGAGCCATAGCAGACTCATTAGGAGTTCCTTTTTTTACATGCAATTAAGTGATACTTTTACAAGGCAGTTATTTAAAACACACACACACACACACGGAGCTCCATATAATTTAGACATTTGTAAGTCTGCAGGGCTCTCTTTTCAGTAATGCATACACAATGTGGCCTTTAATTACCTTGGCAGGTTCAGAACATTGATAAAAGCTTATATTTTAAAACATAAACTCTTCAGAATTTTTCCAGTACTTGGCAGGCAATCCATTCTTGAGTTGTATTTGGAGCAAGACTAGCAGGAGAGCTTACAGCCAAGAGCTCCAGTGTAGACTGTAACAGGTTTTGAAAGAAAAACCCATTGACACAAATGGGAAAAGAGCACAGAGGACAATTAATGCCTAGGGTCCCAGGAGCAGCTGTTTTATTAATTTGCTTTGCCTTTTGGCTGCCATTGGCCAATTTTGTCATTAAAGTAATCCAGAAATGGGACATTTCCCACCAAAATGCATTCACTAGCTGAACTCGTTTTCAACTGTTCCCTGAGAGAAGGTACTCTAACACTGACCCCCCCCAACTGCCAGGCTAAGTTCCAAAGAATCACAGCAACACATGCAACTGGGTGTTGGCAGCTGGGCCCCGGAAGGAGACACCTCTGCGTCCTGACTAACTAAGGGGGAGGAGTGGAGCTGCTGTATTTGAGCCCAGCAGCACCTTAGAGACCAACAAGATCTTTCAGAGTATAAGCTTTTCAGAGTCAAAGTTCCCTTCCTCAGGGGGCGGGGGTGTGCACTGTGCTTTCTCTCTCTGAATACTTCTCCCAGTCGGAAATGGGAGACATTTGCAGAAAACTGCAGCAATGTCCTCCCTCTTCCTACTGGAGAGGTGTATGGATGTATTTAAAATATTTTTATGCTGCCTTTCCACCCAATCAAGGTCCCCAAGGCCTGATAAAACATAAAACATTAGAATAATTTAAAAACCCCATAAAATATGTTTAATAAAACACATTAAAAAACACCACCACCAGAACCAGGGACGAGGACTAATAATAACCATCCGAAGAAGAAGAAGAGATTGGATTTATGCCCCGCCCTTCACTACCCAAAGGAGTCTCAGAGCGGCTTACAATCTCCTTTCCCTTCCCCTCCCCACAACAGACACCCTGTGAGGTAGGTGGGGCTGAGAGAGCTCTTGACAGAAACTGCTCTTTTTCAAGAACAGCTCTTATCAGAACTACGGTTTGCCCAAGGTCATCCAGCAGGTGCAAGTGGAGGAGTGGGGAATCAAACCCGGTTCTCCCAGATTAGAGTCCGCGCACTTAACCACAACACCAAACTGGCTCTCACTGGGGGTATGCCAAACAAAACAAAAAAGGCTTTACTTGCTGGCTGAAGACACCAATAGAGGGAGATGGACAACTCTCTGGTGAAGGAGTTCCAAAGATTTGGTTCCACAGCTGATGAAGTCCTTTCTCAGGTCTCCACCCATCTAGCCTCAGATGGTGGGCGGCCACTGAAACA